GGGGGCACGGGGCAACCCCGGGAGTCCCCCGAGGGGTGGCAGTGAGGGAGGGGGCGCAGTGCGACGGGGGACACCCGGAAAGGGGTGCAGGGACACGCGGTGCGCTGGGAAGGAGGTGCAGTGAGGGAGGGGGTGCAGGGAGTTGGGGTACCTCGAGGAGGGGGTTCTCCAAGGGGCGTGCACGGGGGATAGGGCACAGCGGGGAGATGGGTTTGCAGGGAGATGGGGTGCCCCAGGGGGATGGGGGGCAGCAAAGGCCCCCAGTGGCCCTGGGGATGCAGCCATGGGGGTGCCACAGGGATTTGGGGCGCCACGTCAAACCAGCATCCCACCTAATGGCTGTTTCAATAAATGGTATAAAGAGTGGTTGCTCAAAAAAAACCCCAAACAACATATATATATATATACATATGTATTGCAGAAAGAGAGATGCAGAGATACTGGGCCGGTCTGCCATTGTAGACCTTGCAGCATCTGGGCTAAATAAGCCCAGCTTTTTCTTGAAAGGTGATCCACTTGGATTATTTTTCTTAGAAAAGACTTTTCCCTTTGGCCTGGGAGTTTTTATAATACTGCCGGCAGCTCCTTTATAATTCCTGGGAAGGAATCATCCGGAAGGGAAATGAGCCCATCGCTTTTAATATTGGAAGTAGCCCCAGAATTGCTCGTTAGGAAATTAATATTAAAAAATATTAATGCACCAGCAGTTCCCATGTGCAGCAATACCATTGCAGTGGAGACTGAAACTGCTTCAAAGCAGCAGGGATCCTGTGTTATTGCTATTTTTTGAAGTTGAGGAGCCTGGGTCCTTGCTCTGGAACAACTGTGACACACCTCCTGGCAGGTGAGGAGAGGAGGATGCTCGGGGAAGGAGAGTCACGGGGAATTAATGGGGAAAAAGCTCTGACAAGACTGGAGGTTGCCAAAACCACGCAGGCTGAGAGACTCGAGCTGTGATCTACCCCCCTCTGTTTGCCACGAAGAGTTTCTAAAAATACAGAGGGAAGCACGAGCAGGTGATGGGGTGGCACAGATGTGATTCACCCACAGCATCACAGCACTCCAGTGCCCTCCTCCCTTCACCCCCAACTCCCTCCCTGCCTCCCACAAGTCCTGATGGGTTGTTCTCAGCTTTTCCCCAAGCCACATCATTTTGGAGCTCGTCCCTGAGCAATCCTTCACCTCAATCCTCATTTCTGCCTGGGTTTTCCTTCAGGGATGAGTTATCCCTTCCTTCTCTTTGTCAGTTGGGAAGACGTGGTTGAAGCATTGACTGTGCCTTCTGGAATGGTTTACCTGTGCTCTTTCCAACATCACACATTTGTCATTTCAACGATTATTTGTTTTTCTTGGAAAATTCCACAGACTTTTTGCAGCAGCTGCTCTTTGCTTCGCAGCTCAGACCGGATCTAGTCCTTGCTCTGTCCCTGCTTGTTGTATTTCCCTCTCCTTCCATGCTGAAAATCAATGGCAGGAGGAAAAAGGCTTTAAAAGGAGGATTTTGAGCAGCACAGCCCCCTGCAATGACCCCGGGAGCACCCTCATGGGAAGGTGTTCCCACACAAAACTCGGCCAAGGAGCAGCCAAGGTCCCCAGGGACATGAGCCTCTCCCCAGGCCAGCTTCCAGCACCCCCACACCATGGGATTAAAAGCCTCAAAATGGCAAAGCCGGGGTTAATGCAGCCCAGAGGAGCTGGAAAAGGCAGATTAGAAAGGCAGGAACCAGGAAGGGAGGAAGGAAGTCCCGAGGCCCCAGGGAGGTTGGATGATGCAGGCCCAGAAGTGCTTTGGGGCAGATCCTCCTCTTCTCACCACAAACTACCCAACCCAACGCTTTTTTTCAGCTGGGTGAGCAGAGACACATTCAGGATGAGCCTGTGCTGTTTTTCCCATGGACATTTCCTACAGGGATCGGTGCTGGAAGCTCCAAGGGAGGACAAGGATGGACATGATGAGCAGACCCTGGGCTACCAGAGCTGCCCCAACTGCTCTCTCCTATTCCCTATGCCTCCAGCCATCCATATTATATATTTAGATGTTTATTTCTCATCAAAGAGGAGCTGGAAGCTGAAGTCAAATTTTAGGCAGAGTTTAAACATTCCCAGGGAGTATCGGGCAGAGGTGGGGGAAGACCAGCTGTGAGCAAAGGGTGAGGGTGGCAGAAAGGGCAAGAATTCATTAGCAGAGCCCTGCTGAGCACGTGGGCACTCATTACAACCCACAGAAACGGGAGCTAAATGTGAGCCCCGAGATCAATACCCTGTGCAATCAAAGGAGCCGGCAGGGAACGGCTCCCCAAGGCGCAGGGAGCAAAAGGGGTGAGGGGATGGGCACCAAAATAAAACCCTATCATTTTAGGGTGAATAGTTACCCTGCTAGAAGCATCTTCCACTCTTGGAAAAGCTAAATAAAATAGTGTGTTTAACTAGTCTTTCTCCTGGTGCCTCTAATTACAGCTGGCTTAGTATTGGAAAGCTGCTCCTGAGAAGAATTGATGGAGAAAAGCACACCAGTGTTGCCAATTAATATTATTGCAGTGGGAAAGGCTGAAGTGGAAAGCTAAAGCTTCAAACCCCCATCAACCACCTCAACACTGCTGATGGAGACACGGATGCTGCCCTCCTGCAAATTAAACACTGATTTAGGAGACAGTGAGTGTGTGATGAGCCATGGGCAAAGCCGTCACTTTGGAAGACCTCCTCAAGCCTCAAAGTGCTTGGACTAAATAAGCCAGTTAGGAATAAAAAAACCAAAAAAACCTCCCAAAAACAAATTATCTTTTAGTCCACAGACTCATCACTTTCTTTCTGGATTCCTACAGATGTCCAGGGCTGTGATACAGCAAAATCCAGCCCACAGAGATGGATGAACGTGCAAAACCCGGCAGATGCATCAGGCATTGGTGGATGAGGAAATGCAGGAGGATTCCAGGTCCAAGTGCATCTTATCTGCTTTTATTTAGAGGAAAAGTTGGTGCTATCAGGTTACTGCAGATAACAGCCCTGATACAGGGGGGCAGAGTCTACCTGACCAAGGAATGGTGCTGCCCATCTTCTGTAAGCTGAGCGCTGCCAAGCTGCTCAGGGAGCAATAGGATATGAGGGGGGAAATTTCCCTGGACTGGGCAGGATGGTGATCCCTGTCCCATCACAGGACTAGGACACAAACCCCAACTTACCCAAGCACACCAGTGTTTGCTTGCTGCTTCTCCCATCCCTTTTTGGGATCTGGCGTCACCACCAGAGACGGCCAGGCCCCACTGCACCCAGACCCCCAGCGACCCCTCCAAACCTCTGGCATCACCTTAAACTTCACCAAAAGGTTCATCCTAAAAATCCCTGCAGCATCCTCGCTGTGGGGGGGCAGTGGCAGGATCCAGCAGCCTCCTGTGTTCCTCAAGAGCAATCGCCGTCCATTCCTGCCTCCGGAAAACGTGCTTTTTAATGGGGGGTTCATTAGAGCCTGTAGAGAGCCAACCTCAGAGGCATCTGGAAGCAACTAAAATTAAAATGCCTAAAATTAGCCTCCTCAGCAGTGAATCCTCCCTCTGATCTAGATGCCGAGGCACACATGACCCAGGCATGCCTTTCTCACTTTCCCTTCCCGCTGCCATCCCATTCCCGAGGCACCAGGCACAGCCCCAGCCACTGACACACCAACCCACGGCCCCGGAGATGGAAGGGATTCTTCCCTGGGAGGGTGGGGAGGCCCTGGCACAGGTTGCCCAGAGAAGCTGTGGCTGCCCCTGGATCCCTGGAAGTGTCCAAGGCCAGGTTGGACAGGGCTTGGAGCAACCTGGGCTGGTGGGAGGTGTCCCTGCCCATGGCAGGGGTGGCACTGGATGCTCTTTAAGGTCCCTTCCAACCTCATAACATTCTATGATTTTACGTATGTATATGTATATATATACGTATAGACCTTTCAGAACCTATATATGTATATAAATGTGCTCCTGAAATCCTATATATAGACCTTTCAGAACATATATATATACATATATATATATGTGGGCCCATGAGACTCTATATACAGATCTTTCAGATCCTATATATAGATACATATCTATATAGAGGTATATAGAGATATAGATAGATAGATAGATAGATAGATAGATAGATATCTATATTGAGATATAGATAGATAGATAGATAGATAGAGGCCCCTGAGATCCTATATACAGACCTTTCAGAACATATTTATACACATATATATATATATATATATGGGCCCATGAGACTCTATATACAGACTTTTCAGATCAGATATATAGATATATAGATGTATAGATGTATAGATATACAGATACAGGCCCCTGAGACCCTGTATACAGACCTACAGAATCCACACACGTATATAAGCCCTGAGACCGCACACTCGGCTCTTTCAGGCCCTATACCCACTCCCCTCAGCCCCTACACACCGTGACCCTCCTCAGAGGGTGCACACAAACCTTTCAGCCCTACCCGGGACCCCAAAAACCCCGGCCCGGACCCGGCGCCTCACAGAGGCCACGCCCACCGCGCTCAGACCACGCCCTTCTACCCCCGGGCCCCGCCCACAAGGCCTTGATCCCGCCCCTCCCGGCGCGGCCCCGCCCCCAGAAGCGCGCGCGCCGGGCGGAGCGCGGGCCCGAGGTGAGCGGGGACCGGGAGCGGGACATTCCCGGGGCATTCCCGGGGCTGGAGGGGGGTCCCGGGCCTCGGGGAGGGGAGTCCCAGCCCCCGGCGCTGAGGCGGAGCTGCTGCCCGCGGTAAACCGGCCTTTCCGGGTCTCTGTTGCCGCGTTCCGGGTTCGCCATCCCCGGGCCCTGCGGGAGCTCCGTGGCTCCGTCCCGGTGGGATAAACCCGCGGCTCCGGGGTCTGGGTTGGGAGTTTATCGCCGTGTGTCAGAGCTAAAGCCAAACGGCTTTGCCTTTACAGCCGTTCGTTAGGGCTTTAACCCCGCCGAAGGGCCCGGCCGCGTTTGATGTGCAGGAGGAGGGGAAGCCCCCGGGGTGAATTTGGGTTAAATTAGTGTAGGAACGGCTGATCCTTATCGCGGCGGGATTTATGTGTTCTGCGTTTGCCTTCCGTTTAATGAGCTGCTTGGGAAAGGTGGGAAATCCGAATGCATTGAGTGGGGTCTAAACAGGGGTGGGCAAGGTTTTTGGAGGCTTCTCCTCTGGAAGCACAGGTGCCAGCTCAGACTTGAGCTAAAGGCCTGGCTTGTCTTTAATTCCTTCAGTCAGCTGTGCACCATTTTGCCCCTCCTGGCTTTATTTGGCTCAGCTGAGATGCATTTCCCGAGGTGGATACGTGTAAACACTGAAATGCAGAGGCAAATTAGGTGCAGCACAAAGTTTTAATCCTTACCGTGTTTCTTTCTTGTTTTCAGACCACAGCCCTGCAAAGAAATAATTCTCTGTGTTCTCTGTGACCTCTTGACCCGCAAGCTGGGAGCAAACAAGCTGCAGGTGAGAAAGGTGCTGCTGAGTGTTGGGGTGTGCAAGTCACAGCTGAGCCCTGCTCTCAGGTGCTTCTGACTTTGCTGCACTGCTCAGCTGGCTGATAGTTACCCTTAGCTATGCTCTGTGTGGAATTAGTCTTGTCCTGAAGCTCTCTCAGGGTTTTTCCTAGAGGTGCAGGGGAAGGGGTTGCCTTTTTGCAGTGGGAAAAGTTGTGCTGACTTTCCTGGTGCAAGTGCAAGCTGTAGGAGAAGTCACCTGCGTGGAGCTGCCCATCAACCCATCCTCAGCTGTGCCTCTTTCAGAAAATATTAAGAAAAAAAGTCACCAAAAAAACTCCACTGCAACTTAATGTGTCGCATTAATTTCTGTGCACTCAGTAAAAGTGCATTTGAACAAGGGAGGTATAAAAAAAAAATCCCAACAAACAAACAAACAAAACTAAGGAAAGATGCTTAAACTGTGTGTGCTTGTCCATCTGGAGCAACAGACCATTTAATAGCATCACACAGAGGGCAGGGTTAGGTGGGAAATGGGAAGGAATTGTTCCCTGTGAGGGAGGTGAGGCCCAGGCACAGGTTGCCCAGAGAAGCTGTGGCTGCCCCTGGATCCCTGGAAGTGTCCAAGGCCAGGGCTTGGAGCTCCCTGGGATAGTGGGAGGTAAGCTCATGTGACCCCTCTTTGTTTACTGGTGGAAGTGGCTTGTTCTCCCAATGACCCATTTTCTGCAGAAACTTTGGTGGTTTTCATTGTGCTTCCTGAACTAAAGCTGAAATTCCACGCTCTGGAGGAAAAAGAATGATGTGTTTTGCTTACATCATTACTGTCTGGAGCTCCCTGTGTGTCATTATTCTCTGGGTCACTTCCCTGGGCAGGTTCCTGGGTAGGATCAGAGCAGAGAAGATCCAGTCGTCCTCAGGCAGTTTAACAGAACCAACTGCAGGACTTGCAAATCATTTGAAGTCTCAGCAAGGCTTTGAAGCAGTATCCCACAAACATTCCATGTTTCAGGTGGTGTTTGAGGTGATATCAGCACGTTTAGATCTAGGATGTGGAAACGCTCATTTCTGCATTTCTCAAGCAGAATAAGTTCTGTAGCAATCATATGAGGTTTGTTATAAGAACACCTTGTTTCATGCTGTTCCACTTGCTGAAGTAAAGCTTCTTGAAATGAGCTGGGAGATGGAAATCCTTGTTTTATTCTTCCCAAGTTCCCAGTGGCCATACCAGTGCACAGTATTTTAGCACAGCTCGGTGCAGTGGGGCTGAGGATGCCTGTGTACAGCAATAAAAATAACTGTTTGGGTGTTTATTCCAGGTGCTGTGTTGGGATATTGCAGGAGTGTCAGTGAAAAAGTATCTTGGTGTGATTTTTGGGTGGGGTGATGTTGTTTAGGATAATTTAGTAGGAGACAGTAACCAGGGTCCTTGAGTATTGTACACCTTTGGGATCAATGTTACCTTTTTTTTTTTTTAACAGAATTGTTTTAATAAAAGTGTGTTGCAAATAACGTGTCTTCCTCATAACCATGGGACCATGGAATGGTCTGGGTTGGAAGGGTCCCAGTCCCACCCCTGCCATGGGCAGGGACACCTTCCACCAGCCCAGGTTGCTCCAAGCCCCCTCCAACCTGGCCTTGGACACTTCCAGGGATCCAGGGGCAGCCACAGTTTCTCTGGGCAACCTGTGCCAGGGCCTCCCCACCCTCACAGGGAACAATTCCTTCCCAATATCCCATCTATCCCTGCCCTCTGGCAGTGGGAAGCCATTCCCTGTGTCCTGTCCCTTGTCCAAAGTCCCTCTCCTGCGTTTTCACAGGTGCTGGAAGGCTGAGGATGACCCTTTTTCTTTCAGGTGATGTGCCTGACATTTCAAGTAAGAAAGACAAGGTCTTATAGTAGCAACTGAGTAGAGCCTGAGGCACTTTGTCTCCCTAAGCACACACCATCCAGAGCCTGTGGCAGCTTTGCCTCTTAGTTTTAGATTTAAGGTACTTTAAAAGAGGAAAAATCGACAGATCGTGCATTGTTTTTCTGCAGAGTTATCTGAAAAGTCCTTGAGTAGTACATTCTGGGTTGTGTTTATCTGCTACCATGTCCATAAATGCAGTGACCACTTTTTTTCCCTAAAGAAACCTCCAGTGGAGTTTCCTTCCGTGCATCCCAGACTTAACCACTGAGAGCAGCTTTTAATTGTAGTCCCACCACGGGAAGAGTTCCTCTGTGAATGTGGGGCAGGACAAGGTGGGGGTGGACCAGAGCACTGATCCTTGTAAGTGGGAATTTTGAGCTGGGGTGGGAATGTGCAGCTGGAGATGGGCCAGCTGCTCGTGCTGGCCTGAGTGTGTGGCCTGAAATGCTTTGCATGAACAGCCTTTGGCTCATGGCTGCGTTTCCTTTCTGTCTCTTCAGCCTGTGACAACTTGTCACCCTTCCTCTGCCCCCCCAACAAAACAAATCAGTGCCTCCAAGTAAACTGCTTTCCACGTTGTGTTTTTTGCATAGAAAAAAAGCTGACTTTTCTGGGGTGGGGGTTTTTCTGAGTCTTCAGGGTCTGTCAAGCTAAAATTCTTAGTTGTTTCTCTTACCTTCAGCTCTTTGAAGTGAAACCTGAGATCCTTGTGTAGACAACAAGAAAGAAGGTCATGGTTTGAGAGGGGCAGCTGACCTGTGCTTGCAACATGAGCCCTGTGAGTCTGTGGGGCTCCATAATTTGTGAGTGTCTGTGAGGCAGAGCTGCCCTGCTGACACAGACCCATCACTGTGGGTTCTGTACCACCACTCTACCAGCTGTGTTTTCATTAGCTTGATGTAAACTTTCCACCTCTGGCAGTTCTGCCTCAGGAGCTGTGAGAGCAGTTGCATTTTTTGCCACTGAAATCTCAGCTCTGATGCAGTCCCCAGGTGTGCTGTGCCTGCCTGCCCACCTTGGATGGAGCCCAGTGGTGCTGCTGGCTTTGTCCTGCTGACACTGAGCTCCCCAGGTTGGGTTCTAAAAGCCCAAGGCACTAGCCAAGCTTATCCTTGTACTTTTTCCCTCTCTGAAGTTCAAGCTAATCCAATAATGTGTTTCTGGAAAAGCAGCTGCAGTGGCTCAGACTTGCTTTTCCTTTTTTTGGGGAGAAGCAGCGCTCTGCTCTTCTCCTGAATTCCCAAGCAACCACCATCTGGTAGATGGAACACAGGTGCTGTGGAATTTTTTGTTTGCTCCTGTAAGTTTTTTCATTTCTGATTTGTTTGGATGTGTGCCACCAAAGACTGGCTCTTTGGGCAGGGGAGGTGTTTCCTACAGGAGGAAGTGCCGTGGCTGGGGTGGGGGATGTTTCTGTTTAAAGGGTCCTCTCTTGTTAGAGAGGACTCCAGACTTCACCATATCAAACTCTGAGATGATCTGCTGCCTGTCTACCCCCAAAAAGACATTTATCTCTTTTTTATGCCTGCAGATAACTCAAACCTGCCAGATTGTCACCCTGACAGCCTAAAGAGGCTTTTGCTTTCTTCTCAGACTACTGAAATTTTTTCTCTCCCAGAATTATTTTCTTGTGCAACATTAGGAATCGACACCAGGTTTTCTTTGGAGCCAAGTAAGCCATAAACATTTCTCAAATCTGACTGCTCTGAGATGTTTGTTGTTGCTTGTCAGGTACACACAGGTGGGTGACTGTTGGCTGGAAAAAAGCACAGGAGCTTTAAGGAGAGTCTTTCATTTGGTGCAAAAGTTAAGGAATTCTCAGGAAAACCACGTCCCACGGGCACAGATTCTGCAAGGCAAGTTAAATCACTCAGGTCATTAAGCAGATGTATTCCTGCTGGCTGGAACTTTCTGCAGGAAAAGGCAGCAGTGTTATGTTTTCCAGCCCTCTGCCAACAGTTCTCTGACAAACCTTTGCTCCTCGAATTGGTGCAGAAATGCCTCTGCAGCTGCTCGTGGGGCTGGTGTGCAAAGTCAGCTTGATTATTTGGGAATAGTGACTGGAAAAAGAAAATTTCCCCTAGGACTGGTTAAGGTGGAAGTAGCCCATGAAACAGGGTCTTTACCCTTGATAAGGGTGAGAAGTTTTTTTGGTTGGTTTTTGTTTTTACAGCTTCACTAATTACCTCTGCCTTCTATAGAGATGCTGCTGTGGAGTTTGTCAGGGCTGGGGGTTCCTGTAATGTTTTCTAGGTAGAAAAGTCCAAGGAATACGCTGCATTTTGGGTGGAGGAAGGGAAAGGGAAGCTTTAACCAGGAAAAAGCAGCATTTGGCATTAATTTCTGTGGAAGTTTATAGCTGCCCCTGAAAAACCCACTGTGCATTGCTGGAGTCTGACTGGCTGAAGCAGCAAGTGCTTTACTGAAGGTGCTATTTCAGTGCTGCTGCAACAGATGGAACCTGTTTATTCTGTTTGGGGGCACTTGTTTCTCATTTGTTTCTCAAAAGCTGCAGTGGGTGAAGGCTGCATCCATCCCCCCTCGTGTCCTCTGGCCACTCAGCTTGCAGGTTACATTTGGGGTTGCTCTTTGAGTTTGCCAAATGATGTTTCTTCTGCCAGTTTAGTTGGCACCAAAGCCTTTCCCCAGCGTGTGAACACTCCTGTCTCCCTTTCAAGGGGAGACCAAGCCCAAGGTAGCTCCTGACCTACATTCTTATAAATAATCCAGTTGCAGTTACTAATAATGCTTTATTAAAGCCGAGTCAAAAAGCTTGTGTGTGTCTTCACAGCACATCTTTTCTGCCTAGCACTGAAAATCAACTCAGTTATTGGGCACAATAAAGCAACTGTGAGGTGAGGGATGTCACTCATTGTCCCCAAGGGACACCCCAAGGGGTGTAGGTACAGAGCTGTGGAGTTGGGAATTGTGCATTTGCAGGGCTGAGGATTTTAGGAAGGGGTGAAACTTCACTGCAGTGATGGTTAAAGGGAAATTACCAGGCTATGGCTGAGGTTCTGAGCTGACTGATGCTCCATGAGCTCCACATCAATTTGGATCGTGCTCTGAAACAAATGTGGTTCCCTCTCCAGCCAAATAATTGTGATCAAATATTGCCCCAGTCTCCTACCTGAGGAGAAATTGCTTTTGCTGCTGGATTTCATTTTCATTCCCCAAGCTGATTTATGCTCCTTAGTAGGCTAATAACTTCAGTGATGGGAGTAATCCTTTAGCTGGAAATTGCACTGGGTGAGGTGAAAATTTGGAGGGGAAAAGAGCAGCAGTGGTTTGGTCTGTCCTGGAGACAGGGGAAGGGGTGGATTCAGATGCCTCAGGAGCTGGAATCCACCTCCAGGCACCTTTTGTAGGAATTACTCTTTTATGGATTTCGTGGGGTCATGGAGTCAGGATGGTTTGGCTTGGGAGGGACCTTGAAGGCCACCTGGTTCCACGCCCTGCCGTGGGCAGGGACACCCACAATCCCACCTGCAAGCCCTGTCCAACACTTCCAGGGATGGGGCAGCCACAGCTTCCCTGGGAATGTCTCTTCCTGATACCAGTTTGTAAATGAAAAGTATGGAGAACTGGGGGGAGGAGAAGTAATAATTAGTGACATTAGTGGAGGCAGGGTTTTTCTGCTGTGGGGTTTTCCCCCCTCCCTGGTTTTTGTGTCTCAGATTATTTTACCTATGCCTGGTGTTAATGGTGACATTTCTCTCCTGATTGCTTCACCCTTTCCCTTGCACCTTGGCTTTTCCTTCCCTTTGGATTTGTTGTACTTTCTCCCCCATTTTAATTCTTGCTTCCCCAAAATGCTGTTCAGAAGATGGAGACAGGAGAGCTGGGAGCTGAGAGCTGCTCTCTGGAGTTGCTGGCTCTGTGCTTCAGGGCACCTCACACCTCCTGGGGCTGATGTCTCTGGCTCCAGGGAGCAGGCTGAGGGATAACTGACAGCCAGGGGCTGAGGTGGAAACAGGGGAGGAATTTTCCTGCAGCATCTGCTGGGTCAGGATGCCTTGATGTGCTCTGGCAACGTCAAACTTTGCTTTTTAATAAACACACAGCTCTGGAAGGCTGTTGGAGTTCTTAGGGGCTCCATCTCAGCCAGTCCCTGCAGGAGTTCTTTTGCCTAAGTAGTGCCTCCTGAATGCAAATTTGTTTTTTCAGAAGGTCCTGCTGCATAACAATATTTTTAATTTAAATTTACAATTGGCATTTCAGTGTCACTGATGGCCGAGCTTACCATGTCCTGGTAAAGCTGTTCAGATAAAAAGTGCCTCTGAACCCTTGTCTGATTAAAAATTAAACAGCCATCAGCTTATTTAATTACTGTTCTGCCTCTCACATGCTTGTGCTACCGAGGCCAGCTTCGACTTCAAAACACTGCTTTAAGTGTGTTTCATCTATTCTGGATCCCCAAAAAGGGCTGCAGAAGTTCAGTGCTGGGGGGGTACCCAAGTGTGGGAATTCCCTTTTGCCTGGGCTGCTTAGTGCTTCCAGCCTTGGGACCATCAGCTGATGAGGGGACTGGAAAAACAGGAGCAAGGCTTTTTTTTTTTTTTCTCTGTTCTTTTGGTATCTGGAAAAGGATGCAAGAGTTGGGATCTGCCAGTTCTTATCCACACTGGAAAAATCCAGGGCTGGACTGCTGATGCTCTGGATGTGGCCAGAGGGGGAGAAGTGGAGAACCTGCCTCAAGTTTGCTTGGAGGACAGGTTGGCAGAGAGAGGATCACTGAGGAAATCAGGTATCCCCATCAAGCCAGAATGGATGGAACTGCTGAAATCATTTTGCATTTCTTCTTTCCACGTGATCTGGGTGGTCTCAGTTTGAATGGAGCCTGTCATGTCTTGGGTTGGGAGTGGTGTTTTCCCAGTGGGTTTGAGTCTGTCCGTTGACTCTTCTGCTTAAAAGAAAAAATAACACCAATGTCTTGTGGCATAAATAAGAGCAGATGGGTCATTCTGTTCTGGAAAAAAGCCCCAGCTGTTTCTTTTGTCCAATGATATTAAAATCAATCTCTGAAAGTAACTGTAGAGCTGTTCTGAGCAAGAACTTAAGATAAGGACAGGCTTATCTCTTGGAAACAAAGCAGATTCCCTGTAGCAGCAGCACCAGAACATTGTGATCACTTTTAGGTTTGCTTATTTTCATTATTTTGGAGTTAAGTGGTTGGGGTTTTTTTCCTCTGTGTTACTTTGTTGTATCCTATAAAAATTAATCTTTTATTACATTAAATCAAACAGGAATTGAGGTTGTTTCTTGTTGTAGGCTGTAATCACATCAGTTCATGGGAGTTCTGTGCTTGATCTCAGTTTTATTCCTCACTCTACTGCAGGTCATGGTGCTGAGCTTTTCATTGCTGCACTCAGGGCAAGATGCTCATTTTTGATCTTTTTGAAAGTGAGCACCAGCTCTCCTGAGTGATCTTGACTTAAATGCCTGGAGCTTTTAACCAAACACACCAAGCACTGTGGTGCTTTTGATTTTACAAAAAGAAAATTGGGAGGCTTCGTAAAAATTGCAGGTGGAAAGCATGGAAAATTCAGCTTCCAAAGGTCTTTTTTATTATTATTATTATTGTTCTGAGATAAGGATGCTTTTTAATTTAGGGTTAATATGGGAACTGCCTCTTTCAGCTCTCTCAGGCAACTGCTACCAAGTGAGCAGTTTTTGGGTGAATGTCCCAGCACAATCAAGGATGGAGATTACCTTTGGACAAAGCAGATAATTGAGTGTTTCTTAAGGCTCAGGCAGAGTAAACATTTATTCAGTACTAAAGCCAACAATCTGAAATGTTGTAAAAATCTCTTCAAGCTCAAAAGTGAGCGCTGTGGGGCTTGATTTTCATTTTGGCTGATTAAATGGTGCTGGCAACACTTCCCTCATCCAATACATTTCAGGAATATAAAGCTGTAATTAGGATGGGGAACCCAAGTAAGGGTGGCAATAACTTCTTGGGGAAAGTAACACATGCAGATTTTTCTCTGCATGTGTGACAGGAATTCGTCCCTGGAGGTGAAACGGGAACATCGGGTTTGCGCAGAGTGGAGATAATTTTAAATTTGAAGTGAGAAATATTTTTCATAACAATCTTCTGTTGTTCAGGGCTGGAGAAGATTGGAGAATAAACACCGTCAGCTGGCTGTGTTCCATTAAAACCTTAATTTTAAACCTGTTTATTTAAAAAGAGTAAACAGAACGATAAGGCTGATTTTAAGAAGTGCATAGATGAATATCTATGGATATTGATATTCAATGGATGTGCTTCAGGTGGATTTGCTGTGAGTACCAGAGATTGTGGTGTTTGCCCATAAACCAGGGTGGGGACAGACAGACAACCTGTGGCTTTGCAAAAGCAAATGGGAACCAGCAGAACTGGCTTGATTTTTGTATCCAGTGGTTATTTGCTGGCTGGGAATGTGCAAGGAGAATGGCAGGAACAGGGAATAAAAGGAAAATATTGGGCTACTGCTCCTCTTCTCTGTGTTTTTACTGGCCTTGGGAATTCCTTTACTGTTCTGTTCCCAGTCTTAAGGCTGACCCCCACGGTTGGAAAAATTGAATTTGCCTCCGTTAGAAATAAACCCTTTATTTCACTGAAGGATGCAGCACATTTTCTTTCCAAAGGCATCGTTTACTCTCTTCTGAGCAAGCAAAATTGCTTTGCCTCCTGCAGCTGGTGTGTGCTGAGGTGACATTTCTGCGGTTCTGATTTCCCCGTTGTAATTATGTTTAGATTTGTAGCTCTGGTTTCCCATTTGTCTCTGTTCCGGGATATGGATTGCACTTTACAAGTTTTGACACTTTGAAACTTGCCTTGTACTTACAGTTGAATATAAATGTTTTGCTCCAGGCAACCTGAAAGAGTGATTCAAGAACAGTAGGGTTTTCTTAGGGAGATTTAAAACGCCCGGGTTGGGTTTTGCTTGGTAGGTTTGCTTGTTATTTGGCTTAAGTTGCCTTTTAAAATCCAGCTGTGACTTTCCCTCTGGCCAAATGGGGCTCTTCTCTGCTGTATTTGCTTGTTAGGTCTACCTGCATCTTCCATGCCTTGGCACTAGAGAGAGACACTGAAAATATTCCATGGCATCATGGAATGGTTTGGGTTGGAGGGACCTTCTACTGATCCAGTCCCACCCCCTGCCATGGGCAGGGACACCTCCCACTGTCCCAGGCTGCTCCAAGCCCCGTCCAGCCTGGCCTTGGACACTTCCAGGGATCCAGGGGCAGCCACAACCTCTGTGGGCAAGAGAGATTCGCTCTTGGTGACTGTGCTGGGGACAGGCTGGGGAGGAGTAATTTGAACAATGCTGGTAAGTAGTGGGGAGTGTCAGCCGGGCGTGTGCCAATACCTGGCACTCATCATGTGCTGTTAATTAGATCACCTGCCTGTTTCAGAACAGGTAATGAACACCTGTGACAGTTATTTTCTGAAACTGTGCTGATTTTTTTAGGAGACTCCACAGTGCAGACCTTGCCTTGCTCTCCCTTTGCCTGACCCGTGTCTCCCTTGCAGGATGCTCCGGGCTCGGTTCCTGCCCGTGGCCGCGGGGCTGGCGGCTGTGTCCGTGTCACGGCGTCACCTCGGCACAGCCCAGCACCCTGGCACAGCCCAGCACCCAGCCTGGCGTAGGCTCATGGTGGCAGCTTTCATCGGCACCGCTGCGGCCACAGCCGGTGCCAGGTTCCTCTGGCAGAGGTAACAAATGCCTGTTTGATTTATTTTTTGCCTGTGGTAAGTACCTGCACGTGGGGAGGCTTTGCAGAATTTGTGTTATTCACAGAATCACAGAATGTGCCGACCTGGGAGGGACCCACGAGGATCATCCAGTCCAACCCTCAGCCCTGCACAGGCCCATCCCCAGGAGTCACCCCCTGTGTCCCAGAGGATCATCCAAACCCTCCTGGAGCTCTGGCAGCCTTGGGGCTGTGCCCACTGCCCTGGGGAGCCTGGGCAGTGCCCAAGAACCTCTTTCTAAGATCCAACCTGACCCTGCCCTGACACAGCTCCAGCCATTCCCTGGGTGCTGTCCCTGGTCCCCCCAGAGCAGAGCTCAGTCCCTGCCCATCCTCTGCCCCTCCCCAGGCAGCTGGAACTGCAGTGAGGTCTCCCCTCAGTCTCCTCTGCTCCAGCTGAACACACCAAGCACCCTCAGCCACTCCTCACGGTGCTTCCCCTCACGGCCCTTCCCCATCTCCCTTTGGATGCTTTCTGGTCCTGCCTGTCCTGCTCCTGCTGGGTGTCAGGAGTGGCTGCAGGAGTGGCTGTCAGTGCCTCCCCAGGAGCTGCTCTGCTGTTGGGTGCAGTGGGGGCAGTGGCAGAGCTCAGGGTGGAGGTGTTTCCTCACGTGGGCCCTTTGCCTTGCTGAGGTTTCCTGCCAGGTTTCCCCCTGTGTGGTGGTTTGTGGTGTTGTGCAGGGAGAACCCTCTGCCTGCACAGCTCCTGGGCAGGGCTGTTTGAGGAGCACACCTGGCCAGGGTTTGCTGCTCTGGTTTTTTGTGTGTTCTGCTCACTGCTTGCTTCACATATATAAGATAGCAGGGGAGCTGAAGGGATGGTCTACCCCTTGGTGGGAAGGCAGCAGCACTCAGGATTTACGTGGATTTGGAGTCTGAGGGCACCCACTCATGGGCTGTGAGGCTCAAAGCTTGTTTCCATAACTGTGTGGGGAAGGGGGATATTTGGGCTCATCTGAGGTGACCCCCACTGAACCTGGGCCACGTTTGAAATAAATCAGGGACTCCCTCCTCTGCCCTGGTGGGAGCAGCGTGGCACCAGCACTGTGACTGCTGCCAGAGTCCAAGAACAAAGTGTTTGCTCAAAAGCTGTGTTGTTTTCCTCCTAATATTCAGCGGTTTGTTGCTGGCTCTCTGCTCACCTGTGGCTGGAAGGCTCTGGTTTTAATGCAGCAGGAAAAGGTGATGGGAGCTGTTCTGGCTGTTCCTGGAGCTGTCAAACCCGGGATCTGCTAACAGGAGTTGCTCAGGCAGAGGGAGAACACAGTGATCCAGCACAGTTTTATGCTGTGTTTTGCTAATAACCTGCACTGATGCAGTACCTCTTTATCCCCAGAGTGCCTCTGTGGGAATGGGCAGGATAACACCCCTTTTCCAGCAGGGTTTTTCCACTTAAAACACCCTCAGCATGCTCATGAAGCAGGTAGGACATTGTGTTCCACGTAAAGCTGTCCCAGGGGCACGGAGTTAATAACTCCCTCCTGTAGCACGATCCCCCTGCTTTTAAAACCAGGTTTTAGGTGATGTCTTTATCAGGAGGAAGGTGGTTCTGCAGCAAAGAGCTGCTGGTGGTGTGTGCAGTGCTAGGTCAGGGGGTTTTCAGGAGGGTTTTTGGCTCCTGCAGTATTTGGCTGTTCCTTGGAGGCCCCTGAGCACTGACCAGGCTTGACCTTGCTCAGCTAAAATCTGACAGAAATCAGTCAAAGGAGACCCAGTCCTTATCAGTCTGGAGAGACTGACTCGCTGTTATTATTTGTTTTTCCTTTCCTTGCTCTGTCTCCTTTGTCTTTATAAATCTGTAAAGCACTGAATAGAATTGTACAGACTTTCAAGTGTTCCTTTCCTGTATGAGCCATGAAATAAATCCACTGTGTTGGCAACTGTAAAATAAAAGTGCACCCAAGCTTACAGTGTTAATTTAATTACTTGGCATGAATAAGAAGAGGAACAGAACTGATATGTTGATGTAGAAAGTTCTTCAAAATGACACCTGTGGAGGTTTCAAATGGACTTTTTTTAGCCTTGTTCAAAGAGATGAGGCATGAACTGCAAATTTCCTTTGTCTTTCCCAATATATAAATTAGGTGATTAGTGGAGTTTAAGTGTAATCACGAGTGAATACAGGATGTTTGTGATGACATCCTGAGTTATTCAGGTAGTTACATTCTGAGTTATTGCTACTTCCTGTACCTAATTAGTTATAACAGGTAAATATGTGAATATTTCTTTATAGTAAAGGTGTAATAGGCCAAATCAAGAAGCAGTTGAATATTTTATGTTTCTTGGGCCAGACAAGTAGAAGATGATGCAGAGCTAGAGGAAGAGCAGTAATTAAAGGAAATCTGACTTGTATTTCTTTTTGTCATCCGCATAAAGCTTTGTGTAAATGCCACAACTCTTCTCTGCTGGCGCGTGGGGAGCAGCACTGCACCTCTCAGTGCTCAAAAATACCCCAGCTTTCTGTTTCAAAGCAGATTTGTCACGCTTCTGCTGCTGGTGAGCCTTGCTAATTGGATTAGTACGGCGGGGCCTGGGTAGGAACTTGCCCTTTCCACTGTGTGGGGTGAAGAAAGACAGGAGTTCCCAGGTGCAGCCTGGAACCAGGGTGTGTTCCACAGGGAGTCTGGAGGGTGTGGGGGCAACAGCAGCAAAAGCCAGTGCTGGGGTGAGGAAGCCCTCAGAAAGGTGGAGGAGAAATCAAGGCTTGAGAAGATACATATGGAAAAACCCACGTATGGGTTTGTGGTGCAAGACAGGACAGGCTTAGTTTGGGTCTTCTGAAGATGGGAGGTGGGTTGGGGGGATCTTCACGTTTGGTTCATTGCAGGCAAGGTTTGTTGCCTTGCTTTTCCTCCAGGAAGCCCTGCTGCCTGCTTTTTGGGGGAACCTGGATAATTATGCACCAGGAGTAGCTAATGCTGCTCTGTTTTCCCGTGGCAAGGAATGCTTGAGCAGTGCAAATAGCTGAGCTCAGAAGACTAATGAAGTTCACCCTTCCTCAGCAATAACTTACACTCTGAGGATTTCCAGCTGGCAATAAAAGCAATTAGGTATGTGGGCACTGGCATAATGAACTGAATTAATTAATTGAAATAAATCTTGGTGCAGTCATTGGCCAGTCTAAATGAGGCACTAATGTATGACAAGTACTGAACCTCACAGTTTGTGGCAAGTCCAATGTTTATAAAAAATATTGTGTTAGTGATGCTCGTGTAAAACTTGTACTCTGTAGCTCCTAATGCCCGTTTGGAGTGTTGGGAAATGGCTGCAGATATTTATGGCACAGCCCTTCCTGGCTGAATCTGTGGGCAGGTTCTGAAAGCACTTAAACTGGCATTGCAGTGCTGAAGCTGGTTGATCAATCTGGTGTTGAGCGAAACAAGGGAGCAGAGGCACAGAAGGACCCCTGTAAGCAGAGTCTTGCCAGAGCTCTTCCTGATGGACTGGAAGTATTTAGTTTATTTTAGTATTTAGCTGAATTTCTTGTCCTTCTGTGAATATATTGGTGGTAAGAATAAAGGCAAGACACCTGTGTTGCTCTGGAAGTTGCTTAACAACAAGTTCCTTTCCTACCAAAGTATTTTGTGTCTTCCTCTCTTCCTCCATCCCTCTGTCCTTTGGCCATCCTGTGTCCAGTCCCCTGCTGCTCTACTGTAGGAAAGGCCTTTAGTTTTCCTTGCTCTGATGACTCTCACAGCTTTTTGTAATTGTTTTTACTTCACTGACACTTCTGGAGTTAATTTTGAGGGCTAGATCAGCCCTTAGTTGTGGAGCTGAGTCCTAACTGTGTCAGCCCCTCTGCTCTGAGCCAGGCTGGGAGAGCTGGGGGGGTCACCTGGAGAAGAGAAGGATCCAGGGAAAGCTGAGAGCCCCTTCCAGGGCCTGAAGGGGCTCCAGGAGAGCTGGAGAGGGACTGGGGACAAGGGATGGAGGGACAGGACACAGGGAATGGCTTCCCACTGCCAGAGGGCAGGGCTAGATGGGATACTGGGAAGGAATTCTTCCCTGTGAGGGTGGGGAGGCCCTGGCACAGGTTGCCCAGAGAAGCTGTGGCTGCCCCTGGATCCCTGGAAGTGTCCAAGGCCAGGTTGGATGGGGCTTGGAGCAACCTGGGCTGGTGGAAGGTGTCCCTGCCCATGGCAGGGGGTGGAATGAGATGAGCTTTAATGTCCCTTCCAACCCAAGCCATTCTAGGATTCCATAACTCTTGTTTAACAATGCATTGCTTTTTTGTATCAGTGTCCTTGGGGCTTTAGAGTAATTTGCTTAGAATACATTTTTTATGGCAGAATTTCTGGAAATATCTTGTGCCAGCTGAAACTGAGACTTTAAAAATCTTTGTTCTAGTAAAACAAAGGAAACCACATAAATCATAGTCAGGAGGGGAGAAACCTGTTTTATAGCTGTAGATGTGTCAGGTACTACTTAACCTAATGTAGGAGAGAAAAGATGAAAAATTGGAGGTATTATCCATGTGAGATTATTTTTATTTTTAGACCTCTGCTACATGGCAGGGGGTTGGAACCAGATGATCTTTAAGGTCCCTTCCAACCCCAACCATTGTGTGATTCTATGATTTATTATTTTAATTCTTTGTGAAAGATGACAGACTCAAGAAACTATCCTTAGGATTGCTGTGCTGAGGGTTCTTTCCCTAAGGCTTCAAGGCACATTGATCCAGGAGTGGTGTCTTTAAAGAAGGTGCTTTTGGCTTCAGAGTGGTTTTTTCCATGGACATTGGGAAAGGAAAGAATCAGATGCTGGGAGCTCTGTTTGGAAATGAAAGCAGTGTCTCCTGGATTAAATAACAGATTTACAGTTTGCAAGGATGTAGGGGCAATGCCAGGATGCCTCCAGTGTGTGTCACTGGGGCTGACAGCCTTTGTGGAGCAACTGTTTTCCCCTGCAGGCTGTCAGGGGGTCAGCTCTAAGGAGCAGAGTGTCATCCCACGGGAGACTGATCCCAACCATCAGGTTCCCCTGGGGCTGGAGCACAGCTCCTCACGCCCACGGGCTGTGCCTGAACTGGGCTGTGCTGGAGGAGAGTGGGATTCATGGGCTGCTCTGCTGCCAGGGCAGGGCTGGGGGCCTCCCAGCTGGTCCTGGCAGGCAGCTGTGCCACCTATTTACAGCAATGAGCTGGTGGTGGAGGGAGCAGGAGGCAATAAATCCTCCCCTGTCCCCCCCTCAGCACTCAGTGCTCTCTGCACCATCCAGCTGTGTCTGTGTGGCTGTGGATGCTCAGCCTTCTCCCCCTTTCCCAGGGGTACATCTCTTCCCTCGTGATGTCCTTGGGCATGTCCTGCCTCTTGTCCTGTCCTTGCTGGACCAAGGGAACAGTCCCACAGCAGCTGGTTTATATAAATCACAGTTACCTCACCCTCCTCTTTTCCATCTTTCCTGGAGCAATCGGATTTACTTAGGTCAGTTTTTCCCATAGTTTGTTCTGGACCCTTAACCATTCCTGCTGTTCCCTGTTGGATCTTCTCCAGCTGGTCCAGCTCTTCCTAGGAGTGCATGTCAGTGGCTGAAGGCACTTTCTGGGGGGATATTGCTGCTGCTGGCTGGGGTGGAAGGAAGGATATGAGCATCTCAAGGACTGCACTGCTGTCTCCTTATGTTCTTGGGCCTATTTTAGGCTATGGCTGGTATCCAGAGCTGTCTCCTCAATCTGATTGTTCGTGTTCATCTCCGGAATGATTTTAATTTTGGTGTGTTCATTGCAGTTCTTGCCACAAATCCATTGTGACAATTCATGTCAGTGTTGGGTACGTGAAAGGTGAGGAGCAAAATAGTCAAGAGTCCTGTGAGTGGGGTGACACCCTGAAAAATTAGGTTGTGGCTCATCATAATCTCTGTTTAATTTCTTTTTAAAGTTTCAGGCAGATAATTTGCTGAATGTGGCTGAGCTGAGGGTGAGACAGAGCTCCTCACTGAAAGTTCTCCTGATCCCTGGAGGTTGCCTGTTTTTATGAATGTAGTATCCAAACTTGCTTTTGCATTTCAACATGAAAGCCCTGAAGTCTTAAGTGGCTTTTGAACCTTGCTTGGATCTCTCCAGATGTTTACATACAGGGAGAGTGGCAACTCTGAGTCAGCTGAGGAACGTGTGGCAGGCAGGATTCCTCCCTCCTGCTTCTTGTTTGGTGCCAGTGGCTTTGCTGTCTCCTGGGTGCCCAATTTGTTGTTAGATCTCCTACATTTCCTTCTGAGACTAAGCAGCAACTGATAGCTGAGTGCTTTTCTGCTGCCCTCAGTATGAGGGTAACTGAGCACTGTGGTCTCAGCCACGAAGCTTTGTGATTTGTTTGCTCACTGCTCTGCTTCTGTCATTCAGAGGAGAAAAATCCTTTCAAGTGAGGGACTGGGATTTCTCTGATTGGAAGACCTGCAACTGTGCAGTGTTGTGCCAGTGCCTGGTGTGAGTCCCAAGATCCTTTGTAGAAGTACATCCTATGGTTGCATGTTCCTGGCTTTCTTACAGAACAATTTGCTAAGTGAGAATTTAGCATTGTGGTCCTCTGTGGTAGCTCTGTGTGTTTTTGGGGGGGATGATGAACCCAATCTCACACTTGATTGTTGGTTTTCTCCAAGGATTTAAAGAAGATGTTGCTAAGTGGGTGGGAAATAGGCTTTGGTTCAGATTCAGTTCACTGAGGGAGGGGGAGAACCTGAAGAGCCCAGGCTGGTTGAAGCTTGGCAGTGGGATGAGGATCCAGGGCAGGATCCCTGTGGGGACAGGCTGGCAGCTGCTCTGGGCACACAGTGAAGGGGCTCTGGGTTTCCATTTCCCTCTCCTGCAGAAGCTGTAGCACCAGGCATTCCATTGGAAAGTCAGCCTCGTCAAGGAGAGGAGGAGGAGGGTCTTCACTTGCTGATGGAAGTCCAGCAGGGTGGATATTTCTGGGGCTACGGGCTCTTTTCCAGCCATACTCTGACATCTGCACTGAAAGACTTGATGTGGGCACAGGATGGAAGTTGCAGGTGTTGGAAACCAAGAATTTCAACAGAGGCTGGTGGTGCAGGATGTCAAATACACAGAGGAGTAGGAACACAGAGAGCAGCTCCTTCAGTGGTCAGTTCAGTGAGCAGTTTGGACTGTGGCCTGGAGGTGAGGAACAGCTGGTTAAAACCTTGTTTGAGAAGTAGCCTACAAACTCAGCCTTGCTTCTCAGAGCTCGTTTGCCTGTGTGCTGGGGTGGTGGTGTGACTGTAGAGCAGAGTTAATTACCTGGGTAAACCAGAGGGGGGAAAAAAGCTGACTGCACTCAAACAGCCTACGTCTGTACTGCTGCAGCCAAGTGGCTTGACAGAGTGATGGATTGAAGGAACGCGTAGGATTTGCTGAAAATGTTTGATTTTCAATTCCATCCATCCCTTCCCTGCTTTGCTAGCTGTCACTCAGGCACTACAGCAGCAAATCTTTCCTGATACAGCTTCTCAGCACGTTCTGTGTGGAATAGCTTGGTTGTGTAGATAAGCAATTGATTTTCTATTGCTTTTCTGTCCCCTGTTCCCTCAGAACTGCTTGAGGCTGGTGCCCTCCCTGCACAAGGGCTTCCCATGGCAGTGCTGCTGGTGTAGCCTCAGCTGGCAACAGCCTATTCCAGCAAACTGTGTATCAGCCAAAACCACAGCTCCTCCAGGATGTGCCAGTGCTGATTAAACTTTCAGGAAAGGCTTCAGGAGAGGTGCCAGCGTGGACTTCATGCTCCCAGAGACAGATCAGCTGCCTGACTTTTCTGGGGAAATAATCTCCCTGTCTTAGGATACTTGTGGAGGACCCAGGTTTGGATCCTGTCTCTGAAAGTTTGGTTCAGTGGACTTCTTAAAGGTGGTGCTTTGCCATAAGACTTACAAAAATACATTGGCAAATTGAGGCTCAGGACCTTTCCAGAAAGGAAAGACTGGTGTGTAAGACTCCATTATTTTGGAAAAGGCAGGATTAGTGCTGCTCTTCACCCAGCACTCATGTATTTCATTACCTCAAACCCTGGTGATGGAGCTGTTTTCTGGCCCAGTGTGGACCAGAACCCTCTGAACCCCTATTTGAGCTGGTCCCTTCCAATCCAAACCATTCCATGAGTGTCAAAGTGTTTGCTTTCCACCAGTGTACTGTGACTGTAGTGAATTGACAATTGGGTGCTGGTAAGGAGTGAGTTGTCTTTTGTTTTGGTAGCATTTAAATTAATTGGAGGAGCACCTGCCATAATTTCTCCTTCTTGGAAGCTGATGTGCTGAGAGTGCTGCCAGCTGTGGGAGGTGTCCCTGCCCTGGCAGGGGGTTGGAATGAGATGATCTTTAAGGCCCCTTCCAACCCAAACCATTCCATGATTCTGTGGTTTTTGGGGAGACACACACAGACTCTTTCTGTGCATTTTACATACCACATCTGTGTTTTCCAGGAAACTGGTAGGTTGAAATAAATGTAACCTTTTGCTTAGAGCTTGGGAGACTTGAAAAAATCTTGGGCTGATTTTGTTTTTCTCTCAAGGCAGCCCTTTTGGAATAAACTCACAGGGCTGTAAATGACCACGTTCATAGTTCCAGGGAGTACCAAAGTGGCTAAGGAGAGGCACCTCACTGTGTGTGAGCCCCATACACTGTGATTAGTCCAAAATAAATCACCAGGAATGCAAAGTAAATGCAGCTTTGCTTAAATTACAGGCAGCCTGGGATGTTTCCCTGAGCTGAGACTTTTAGAAAGAGAAACAATTTTGTCAAACTGTTGGCTTTGTTACTTGTGACATGTTAACAGATCCTCAGAGATTATAGATCCAGTGATGTTAATGTGGCCTGAGCTCTGGCTGGTTCTGAACTGCTTTACAAGGAAAGCATAGGAATGCCAGAGCATTGTTTGGCTTACGGATTTATCCTGCTTTTTATTTAATCACCCCGTTGCCAGTTGCAGTTCTGGGAGTTGCTCCTGACTTTGAGTGATTTTGAGTGTTGAGTCTTGGTCTGTGAACAGAGCTGCCCGAAGATCTTTGTGTTTGAACAGCAAGGGGAAAAGGGGTCCTGTGCTCTGCCAGTTTTATTTCTTCCTTGAGGATAAACAACTCCAGTTCTGTTGTCACAAATCCTGTAGTACTGGAGTTTACAAGAGTCGTTGGTGGAAGAAGGAAATAAAACAGCCTGTCAAGCTCTGGAGATAGAAAATAAATCAGCTGAGCTGAAACAAAGGTGCTGTTCGTCCTGAATCCTGCAGTGCTGGTGGTAAAACACACTTCTGGCGCTTTGGGTATCTTCTTGGGGGGAAGCAGAGGTAGAATCCAGTGCTAGAGGGGGCATGATGTGCCCTTCCCAGTGCTTCTGGCGTGTGTACTTTTGGGGAGAGGGTGCAATAATTCACGGGGTGGTTTGCTCTGGTGTTCTCGGACTGGGAAAATGTACTGGAATTATTAGCTTGGGTTTTGGCCTGGGGTGGAGGTTTGGTTACAACAGGTGTTCCAAGGGGGCTGATCCCTCCTTTGCAGTCCCACACTGAGGTGTCCCCAGTGTTTCATTCAGGTGGATCCTGGCAGGAGCATCTGTGTGACCTCCAGTCATTCCCTGACCTGACATTTTCTTTTCCCCGCTGCAGGGCCTACGCAGAAGACTCATCCTCAGTGAGACACGGCCCGAGGGCAGAGCCAGGGGAGAAGGGGAAGCCCGAGGAGGAGGAGGAGAGCAGCAGTGAGGGCAGGAAGGCAGTGGCACCGGGCGATGAGGAGGCGCAGCCGGAGGGGAAGAAGAAGAAACGTTCGGGGTTCAGGGACCGTAAGGTACAAACGGGGCCATGTTACACCTGCAGCTGCTCCAAGGGGGAAAACTCCCTCTGGGCTTGTCTTTATTTCCTTACTGTGTGGGGAACTTACTTTCTTGGCATGATGCCGTGGGTTTTCTTCAGGCTGAACCTTGTTTATTTGGAAAGCACAGTGCACTGATCCTCTGAAATGGGGACCTCCATTCCCAGCTCCAGTGGGATGTCCAAGAAGTGGCTTCCTGATGATAATCGAGGCTCCTGCCTTGGTGGCTTTTGGGATGGTGCATGCGAAGTAGGGGACTGGTGCCAAAGCTTTTAAACCATCTGAGACATCCAGCATGTGTGTCTCTGAGTCCACCCCTTTGTCTGGGAATATGCAGGAGGAAGAAGTAGAGGATGAATTTTTCCTTTAATTATTGCATGTAAATGTAGTTGTTGAAATACAGCTTCACTCCCTGTTTGTGGTTAGTCCTGGCTCTCTCTCAACTCTTGTGCCAATTCAATTTTCAGATCAGACACATTTTCATGAGGAGGAAAGCTTGAGTAATAAACTGTATTGTCATCTTGTGACCTGCCTTCTCTCTTGGGTAATTCTGAGAGCCTTGGGCTCCTCAGAGCTGTCTGACAACTAGTTTGGTGCTATCTGTAACCACTGTTATTACAGGATATAAGGTATCAGAGAGTCCTGCAACTGGGAGCTGGCAGACAACAGTACTTTATTTTTTAAACCTGTCTGGATGTCGGTTTTATTGGGCTGTGGTGGATGATTTAATATCTTTGCAGCGCCAAAGAGAAAGGAATTCTGATGAGCACGTACTCCCATTCTGTATGATTTGCTTCTGATAATTATTTGTAAGTCCATATCCTGGAGGCTGCATCTCATTAGCTGTTAAACTGTGGATGGTCCTATATAATGGCTTTAACAGCCTTTCATGAAAAATTAAGAGCTGTTTCTTTTGAAGTTGCTGAATCATTTTTGGTTCCTGGTTAGAGTAGATTTACCCAACCTGAGGTTTCAAGTGCCATGTGGTATTTGGGGCTGCAAACTCTCCCCTGTTGTGACATGCTGGTGGCAACTCAGTGAAGTGATGTTGTAAGATGCTGTGCTGAGGCTTTCAGAATTGCCCAGGAATGTGGGTTCTTCCCCTAATTTTGGTGGCAGTGGGGTGTCAGGGGCTCTGGCAGCTCCAGCTCTTGCCAGTACTGCTCAAGGAAAGCAGGTCACTGGGTTTTTTTCCAGTGTCAGCAGATGGAGGCAGGTTGCAAAGAGCAAACCACAGTCCACCCTCACCCACACTCTTGTTTTTGATTCTCTGGGTGTAAAGATTGGTTTTTGTCTTAGTGGCTGGTGGCTGCTGGCTGGGCAAGCCAGAGAAAGTGTGTTTGCAGGCCAGGGCTGTTATTCTGGGTGTTAGAGATGTGTTGACCAGCTCTTTCCTTCCCAAGCTGGGCAGGGAGGAGTATGGCCTCACTTTCCAGATAAGACACGAGCCAGGCATTCCCAAAAGGTCAGTGGGAATGGTGTGTGGTCTGGATCCCCCCTCGGTCCCATCTCCCTTCCTCCTGAGCTCGGGAGCAGCGATTCCACTGGGGAGGGCACTGTTTAAAACAGGCCTCCTCATCTTTCTGACAACATCAGCCTTTTCTCCTCAGCCTGCAGACTGAATGTACCCTCTGTGACCTGAATGCCAGTGCTGCTCGTGCCTCCTGCCAAGCAGGATGTGCCAGGCAGTGTCCCAGGTGCAGGTTCCCTGTTTGAGCAGCTCCACCGTGGGCTCAGTGTTTGCTCAGCAGTTGCCCTGGTGAGTCACCTCAGGAGGAATGTTTGAATGTGGCCAGCTCAGATGGCAGAGGAAGGTGTGCCCCTGCTCCTGACTCAAAATCAGGATGTGCTGCTCCCAGGATGTGCTGCTCCCCTAGTAAATTGTGTAGCACGCAGGGAATTCTCGACTCTTCTTATACCTTTAAAAATCCCAACAAACACCACCACCCCCAGTGAAAACCCTTTCCAACTTTGCCCATAATTAACTGAAAATAGTGTGGGATTTTCCTTGCGGAAAAAATTAAGCCTAATTGCAAGTGTTTAACACTTGTTTGTTATCCCGATGTTGCTTTTAATGAAGCTGATGATTAGTGGTGAAGTAATAAATTAAGTTTGACACTGCTATTTTAGGTAGTGATCCAGTGAAGGGGAAGTTGAAATATAAACCCCTCAGCAAGTGTTGGGGTCTTGTGTGGATGGCTCCAGGCACGTGTTGTCTGTGCAGTGTGCAGGGCAGAGGAGGAAAAGATTACTTGAGTGCCTGTATGGTTTGAAGGCTAATGAGCTGTAATGTATGGTGTGGGCAGGCTGATGTGTTAATTAACTTGCTAGAAGTGTTTGCATGCAGCATTAGGGCTGCTTTATCAAGATGCACTTGCAGTGTTTGGGTCCTGCAGGTATGTTGCCTTGGGGTGTTAGTCATGCTGAGCCTTCGTTTGGTTGTGCATCACAATGGGAAACACAAAGAAAATGAATCCTAATTAATTTACCCTGCTAAGATGTGTGCTGTTGCATGGTCAGGGAGGCCCCTCGATGCTCTGGAAGTGCATTGAGATGTTAATTTAGAGCTTTATTTTCATGTCAGCATAGGATTAAGGTTTTTTAACCTGAGGCTTAGCATAGACATTGACAGTCTCAACAGCAGCTTCCCTCTTGTAGAGCAGCAGGGATTACTTGTTCCTCTTTCTCCTCCAGTACATGCTCTACTACTAAATGCCAAAAAGGGACTTCTCCCTTTGAATCACATTATGTTTGTGGAGGTGCCTGATTCCGTGAGGCTGCAGTTCTGGGGGCAGATGAGAGTTTTTTGGCTGGTCCTCCCTGAGTCCAGGACTCGTGTACTGGGGGAAGGTGAGAGGTCATGGGAGGAGACACTTGTCTGGGATGATTTCATGTCCAGATTGTTTTGAAGTAGTGCAAAAACCCCTCTCAAATGGTGGTGTGTGCACCCAAGTACATGGGCTCTTATCTCCTCATGGGATCAGGCCACCCATATCATCACCAGCTTTGTGTTCAGCCCCCAGTCTTGAGTAAGGGAGCTGTTTTTATTTGCAGCATCTTGGCTGTTCCCTTCCTGACCTGGCTTTGTGTTCCATCCAGCCTTGAAGTCAGAGGATGGGCTGTAGCACATCTGTCAGGTTTTGCCAGCTGCTGAGCTCATGTCAGGAAATGATGTCACTGAGTTCAGCTGCGGGCAAGGGGAAGGAGTGGGGCTGCATTTGTTCCCTTCTTGTGGGCAAGCTGGTGGAAGAAGTGGGGTTTGGGTTGTAATGAAAGCTACCTGTGAGATGCTAAAAAGCAGTTTAGATTCTACTTTTTTGGTCTAGATTGTGCTGCAAGCTGAGACAGGAGACTTGTTTTTGAGCCTGTGTCGTTATTAAGCTGTGGGTGCTTTGGGAGCCAGGTGTGGCTTTGGAGCAACAGACTGTGACCCTTCCTGGTCCAGAGCTGCACATTCAAAATTGCATCCCCATGAGTGCCTGGCAGTCATCCCAGGAAGCTCTTCCCTCAGGAGTACCTATGGATAGAGGACAGGATGGTACATGGTCCAGGACAGGACTGTAAATGGACTCTCCACTTCCATAGGCTTGGAAAATTGGGCAGATGAGTTTTTTAGGTAGAAAGCAGGCTGTGTTGAAGGGGTGTCATGGATGGAGGGGGCTGGCTGTGGTCTGTGGTGTCTGCTCTTGGCTCCAGTCTGGGGCTCAGTTGGGTTTAGTTGTCTTGCTGGAAGGCAAAAACACCAGACTGTTTCTGGCTGATTAAGGTGGGTGGAGTGTTATTCATGAGATCAGGTCAGGAAGGGGTGAGATTGGGCCTGCAGCCACAAGTCAGATGATCACTTTGGTGTAAGGAGTTGCCTCCTGCCAGGTGGGAGCAGTAGACAAAGCCAGAAGGAGCTGGGAAAGTGGGTGTCATCTTTTACTGCAGTTCAGCTGATTGACAATGACTTGTAACTTGGCAATAAAGCAATTGCCCTTGATCCAGTGCCCTTATCTTTAGAGAGCCCTGTGGACTGAAGCAATAAAGACCAGATAAGGTTTGTTGATTATAGGTGCAAAGGGCCTGGGGAAAAAAACTTTCCCTGCAGGAAAGAGGGAACTGCCTCTAGTGGTTGATGCAAGGACATGTGAATTATGGAAAAGTCGTGGTGATGCAGAGAAGAGTGGAAGGAATGCTTTAGGTATTGTCACTGTGGATAATGTCATCTCTGGTTGCATTTGCTGGAGATCTGAACTGGAATAAATATAGAGGAGAGGCTTTGCTTTCCCCTAGTTACTTTACCAGAGCCTGACTTGGGGGATTAAAAACCTTTGGCTTGTTCTAACCTAGAAATAGGAAAAACCAGAGAGGGTGTTTTCTGTCTGATAAACATCAGGGTGAGGAAGTTGTTCAAGTTAAAGGACAAGGCTGAAACAGGACCAAAGCCAGAAATGATCTACAGCTGCCTTGGCAGTACCCTTGATCTCGCCTGTTCTCTTCCAGCACATCATTGGTAGGGGTTTTTTTTCTTCTGTGGCTCTTGGCCAGAAGTACTGAAGGTTTCAAGTACATTATGGACTGTTAAACATGGCATATGATGCAGGAATAAAAAGCTGAAGCAAGGAGGAAAGTTTTCTCCTCTAATACGTGATGGAGTGTAGGTCTTTTTGTGCCTTTTTCCTCCCTTGTGGCTTTTTGATGTGATTTTGTTTAGAAAAGCTTTCTGTTCCCTTTGATTAATTCCAGTTGTGTGTTGGGGAAACTGGTTCTAGGTACAAAATAATCACTACTGGCAGAGTTAGCAAGAGGCAGATTGGTGGGGAGAAGAGGACTGAGTTTCTGTGGAATTCTGCCAGTGTGATAGAAGAGAGGAAAAAATGAGGTTGGGTGACTGAGCAACCAGCTGCGGCTCTGAGGAGTTTTTTCCAACACTCTGCTTGAAAGTAAAGGTTTCTCCCAGCTCTCCCAGGCTTGTTTCTCTTACTTCATTTATTAATCACAATTCAAACCCTTCAACACTGTGGTTAAAACGTTGAGCTGCTTTAGATTCACAAATTTGATGCCAGCACCTTTTTTTTTTTATGCTCATGTTTAAAAGCGCCTTCGGGGATTTTGTTAATTTATTTTTCCTGTGCCATGATGAAGAGTCTAAACTTATAAATAATAAAAGATTTCCAGTGTTTGTTCTTAGTCTGGGGACACCAGCAGCTCCTGTGTCCAATTTTCCTGGTGGTTCCAAGGCTTGTGAAGGAAACGCCGCTGGAAGGGTCGAGGGTTGTGCTGCTGCACACGACCTGTCCCGTGGCAAATCCCTCTGAGGAGTGAGGGTTGGGGCTGGGGGAGGACACAGCACATCTGATGCTGCTTCCATTTCCTTGGCAGGTGATGGAATATGAGAACAGGATCAGAGCCTACTCCACACCGGACAAGATCTTCAGATACTTCGCCACGCTGAAGGTGATCAACGAGCACGGGGAGTCGGAGGTTTTTATGACCCCCCAGGACTTTGTGAGGTCCATAACACCCAATGAAAAACAGCCAGAGAGTAAGTGATGGGTGGGGGGTAATTTGGGGAACTGACACGCTCTGGTCTCTGCTTCCCTGATCTTTAACCTTCCCAGCTCTGAGCCTGGCATTGCTGGGGCCAGGAAGCACCTCCTGAAGCTCCCTTTCCCAAAACTAGCCTCTTCCCTTCCATGGTGCCTGCTGTGCTGTTGCAGCGTGGCAGATCTGGTTGGTGTGAGCCCTTGGAGAGCAGGTGGGATGCCTTTCTCCTGTATTTAATAGGGAATGATTACCTTGGACTGGAACATTTCAAGAACTGTTCATAAACCTGCAAAAGGAGGTTGCTCTGACAAGGGAAACCTTGGCAGTAAAAGTTGTACTCGATGATCTCAGAGGTCTTTTCCAACCCAAATGGTTCCAAAGGGGTCCAGGCAGCCCCATGTGATGCTGCTGGCCAGGCCAGAGCTCATTTCTGCGCTCTTCAAATTCCCTGTGGATTGCAGGGAAGGAGGTCAGCTGTGGGACCTCTGGGGATTTGGCAGGCAACAAGTGGGGGAGCAGACTCTTTTCTTGTCTGGAGAACTGTGTCCTGAATATTTGGTGTTGGTGGGGTGGCAGGAGGATTTTGTCTGTGGTCTGTGCTGGAGGAGGTTCATGTTTTGGGTGAGATGTTGGAAATCATGTTCCTTGGTCTCCCACATTGTATCTCAAAGAATGAAACAGGCTTTTGTCAAATGAAAACTCCTCTCTTGGGGCATTAATGAAGAAGTTCAGCCCTCAAATGCTAACATTTTGAGTGTGGGGTTTATGTACAAACTGTGAAACTGTTTTTAAATCTTACACGACAGCTGCCAAATAAATACCACATCCACTTGTGCTTAGAAAATAACAATATGAAGTGTGTGCAGGAGGGAAGAAAAAATAATCCTGATATTAGTGTTAAAAGCATGTGGGTGAATTGATATTTAGGTTTTCATCAAGTCCTGGAAATGGCTGTGGTTTCCATGTGAATTAATGGCTGTAGGTTATAATCTTATCTATCTAAGGCTTCTTGAACTGGAAAACTTGGAAAAGCAGCAGCACCTGTCAGGAAGCTTAAAAACAGAAAACATCCTGTGTTTCATTTCAACACATCTGATTCTTTTTCACTTCTTCCATGTATGTCCTTGGTGCATTTTAAGGTGTGTACAGAAAATAGGTGGAAGAGTGCTCAGCAAACACCTACTTTGGAGACAAGTGAAGGTGACTAATGGGAAATAGTTTGTCAGTCTGAGCCACTCACTTCCCATTGTATTCCCGTTGTTATCCTGGCTGTTTAGGTGGCCCCACGGAGCCTGGCACTGCCTTTAATTGCCTGCTAACGCTGCCAGTCAGTGACACACAGCAGCTTGTGAGGGGAAAAAAGTGGCCTTAGTGATCCTTGGGTGCTCTTGGCAGGTGGAATGAGGTGGAAATGGATCTTTGGCTGCCCATCAGCTGGCACAGCAGGAGGGGGGGCACCTGGGATCTTCTTGGTTGGAAAATCTGCCCTCAGGAGTGTCACTGCCATGGACTTGTCCTGGACACAGGCACTGCTGAGATGGTTGTTCTGTACATTGTGACCATCACAGCAAATGGGGGTTTTATTGCAGAATGAACAGCAGAAGAGTGAAACACTGATTGTTACAATAAAGTCAAACCAGCCATAACCTTGTTCCCAAACGTTTTTAAAGCTGGTAGTAAAAAACTAAAAGGGAAGATAGGTGTGATTTTTAAAACCAGAAACTGAAAACAAAGAGTGCTACCTGCTGGTGAGATGAGTTCTGTACTTTACATCCCTTTGGTGCTTTTGACTCATAGGATAATCCAGGTTATGGATTAGTTGGGAAGTGCTGGGGCTGCTTTCTCCCTGAGTCATGACATGGGTGTGCCCTGCACGGGGGCTGGAGTATCCCAGAAGCAGGGCAGGGGGTGCTCTGTGGGCTCAAGCTCCCAGTTGGAATTTCAGCAAGTAACTTCTTGTTAATGCACCTTCTGTTTTATGGAGAGAAAATACTGTGGGATGTAAGTGATTTGGAGTAACGAGGGAGCTGAGTCCCTCTTGTATTTATTTTTAAACTGCTCATCTACTGCGAGGTATCGTGTGCCTGATTCGTTTTTATGGATTACTTTGGGGAAAGTTTGATTTATTGTCTATAAAGTATCAGCTTAATTCGAGCCTGTGTTTTGCTGGCTTGGGGAAAATGAATGCCAGTTCCTCAGCTCCTGGAGAATGCTTTCTCTGGTCCAGTCAAACTTCCTGCCACAGCTTTCCCAAGCAGGCACGCTGTGCTTAAGGAATGACACGCTCTTGCTGAGTTTGGAACAGTCTGTCAGGATAAGCCAAAGAATGGCATTAAACTTGAAAGCTGCTTTAAACAAATAATTTCTTTATATGCTATCTGCACAGTCCAAGCACCAACAGAAGCGTGGGTGGTGATTTCTGCTCCCTGCAGTCCTGTATTAATTTTTTCCTCCCACTCTCATACCTGAGAGATAACTTTGCTCCAAGGCTGGATGGGCAGGGATGGTTGCTTTGTACCTGGAGCTTCCTTGGTACCCCAGTCCCCAACCAGCTGAAAATACTCTGTCTCTGGTGGGAAGGATCAAGGTTCCCTCCCTTTCCCCAAGTTTCCCTGGGTCCATTCTGCATTGCTGTTTTCCTGGGGAAAATGAGGATTTTGGAGCATCCTGGACTAAGAAGGAGCTTGTTTTGCTCAGCCAGTGCCAGTTTTCTTATGGTTTTTTGCAATAAGGATTGAAAGAAGTAAGAAATATGTCATATCTCATCCCAGCACACTGTAACAAAGGCAGATTATACCCAAACCAGTCATGCTCTTCCATCCCAGTGTTAATCCCACTGGTTACCCCAAAGTCGTGCTGCGTGAAAGATGCCTTTCAGGATTCACCATGAAACGAGCAGGAACATAAGCATCTGAACTCTTGGAAGGTTTTTCTGTTGTTTTTTTTTTCTTTTCTGCCTGCAAGAAGCCCCAAACGTGCTGCTGAAGCTCAGCCAGAAGCAGCAGCTGTGGCCCTGCAGCCTCTGTGCCCAGGATGGTGTCAGAGGAGAGGAGCCGGTGTCTGGTGGCTCACCCAGACTGTCCAGCTTGGTTCTGGGGTGAAATGGTTGGTTTGCCATGGCTGCACTTCCAGAGCAGCTGGGCACAAGCTGGCTTCTGGGTTGGTGCAGTGCTTGAGTGATTGTTTGTTGGTTTGGATCTGATCTTCTGTAGAACCAGCAGCCGTGAGCTGTGACAGGCACTCACCTGGTGGGGTGGGGAGGGAGGACTCCCTGGGCTTCTACAGGTCCTTAAAATTACACAAAGGATTCAACTGGGATATTTAAGATTGGGAAGGAAATTAGAGATGCTGAACTTGCCTCCTGGTTTGTTGATGGGGACTTACTTTTGTGTTCTCTCCCAAGTGCATCTGCTGGAGGGGTCTTAAGGGAAAGGATGCAAGTGAGAGGTGACTTGGAGGGTTTTTTTGTCTGTGAAAATACAAAATTCCTAGGCAAGAATCGTCTTTGAGCCTGATATGAGACCCCAGGAAAATAGCCAAGGATGAGCAAGCAAGAGGTGGATTTATATGTGTGTTTATGTGCTAAAAACCAAGTAATTAGGGCTTCCAGAACAGCTGACAGGTTGGTGTGGCTTACCAGGGGTGTTAGGAATGCACATCTCACAGGGAGACCGACCTGCCTGGTGGAGGAGGGGGAGATAGATGAGAGCAAAGTCCCTTGTTCCTTGAACAAAACAGTCCTGCACTGAAACACAAACCTGAGGCTGTCGTCCCATGAGAAATCTCAGGCAGCTCATTGTTTGCTTGCAGATTACATTTTAAATTCAGAGGGGAAATACTCATACAAAAATCAGGAGCTGGGTTACAGCTCTGAAGGGGAAAACTTGCTGCAGCATTTTCTGTGCCACGACATGGCACATCACAAGCATGGTTAACAGCTCTTCAGTCCTCATAATTAGCCCTTTTGTTCATCTGCTGGCAAGAGCGAGTCCATGTTATATATTAAGCAGTGGGAAAGAAGCAGATCATGAGTGAATGTTACCCAAACAGTGTGAAAAATCTGACAAGGATATCAAGACTGGAAGCAGTTGAAAAGGTTTTTCCATCAGTGGAAAGCTGCTGGCATCCCAGAGGAAATCATGATGGTTTCTAATTGATCTCAACTGGGTTCTTGGCCTAATATAATCATTCTTCTCCTGGAAGCTCGTTTTTTAAATGTTTTTTTAAAACTGCAATCTATAACCTGCTGGCCATGGATTTTTTTACAAGATAACACGAAGAGCTTAGTAATTGTCTAGATATTTATCAAGTGTGGTAATTAGCTGTCTTGGAGTGAATCTGTGGAAAGTATGTTCTTGTTAATCAATAGAAATATAATAAGCATTTGATTTTAGATTTGGCTAGAGCTGAACAACAGCAACAGCAAGTTACTCTGTGTTTTTTCCTTTACATAATTCATTCCTTCTCCATTAAAACATCCTCCCCAGACTACAATGAGAGAAGTAAATACAGAGAATATGGTTCTGCTGTCAAAAACCCCATTTTCCCCTTTGTGGCAGGCAGTGAGTATAAGTCATTTTGCTTTATTTTGAAACATTTTTATTTTTAGAGTGCTGTGAAAGTACTATCACATGAATAAAAGTGGCAGCCTATATCCTGGCGTTGGTGTCAGTCTAGTCTGAAATAACACTTGCAGTGATGCTACGTGCTTAGGTACTCCATGGCAGGGCTGCTGTTTCTTTTGGGCCCCTGGTAGTAATTTAGGTGGTATGAGAAATTTTAGGAGTAATGGTAGTTAAAGATTACAAGGAAGCTGGTTTGGAAATCATTGCAGGTCCCCGTTGGAGCAGCTGGTGCAGAGCCCTTGGTTGGGGGAGCAAGAGGGGCTCTGAAAATCCAGGTCTGTAGGGAAAGGTGAGGTGTTGTGCAGGGTCTCAGGTAAATAAAAAGCATATTTTGGGGCAGGTCATGGGGAAAACTCTGGGTTTGTCCAAGCAGAAACAAGCACAGAAGCCCAGGGTGGTCACTGTGCAGTCTGGAGTAGCTGTGGTGCATGTCCCAGGGAGGCTTCTGGAAGCAGCCAGGTATCCCCCTGAAATGATTTCTGCATTTCATTGCTGCCTCTCTTGAAGGAAATCCTTTCATCCACTTCTGGGAGAATGGTGTTTCAGCCCCTGCTTTCCAGTGCAAGGTGGGAAAGCTCTGTTTTACTGGTTAAACATGCCTGTTAGCTTGTGTCCCTGCAGCTCCTCAGCAATGGCCCAGCCAGGGGCTGTTTGTCTAATGAGTGTGTCACTTACAGACAATCCTGAGGTGCCTCTAATGTGGGATGTTGCCTTTTGAGTAGCAGAGTTGTAATAACTACCATTCTTCCCTTCCCCTGTTGGATGTGATTGTCCTCACCCAGGCAGTGTTTCCATTGGCTCTCCAGCCCACGCAAACACTGAATTCCTACTGTAACATCAGGGAGGAAAAGCCTCTTGGATTTTTTTGTGTAATATAGAGAAAGAACACAGGCATCAAGCAACAGACCCTCTTTGTTGGTTTGCTTTTGTCAGCTTTAAAGGACTGTGGAAAAACCACCCAGTTAAGTCCACAGAAAAGAAAATGAACTGTATTGGCAAAAGGAAAATGTATAGAGTAAAACTGTATGCCTTGAACATAAATGCCCCTTTTCAACATTTGAATTGGCTTATTCTCTCAGGAGCTATTTAAGAGGAATTTTATAGAGGGGTTTAAGTGTGCAGCTTATTGCATCAGAGGGGACATGGTTGTGCATGGCTGGGAGAAAGGGTGAGCATAAAACTGGTGGGAACCAATGTGCTTGTGTGTGCAACAGAATCATGGAACTGTTTAGGTTGGGAAAGACCTTCTAAGATTGAGTCCAACCATTAACCCAGCACTGCCAAGGCCAGCACTAAACCATGCCCCCAGTGGTGCCACACTTACATGGCTTTTAAATCCCTCCAGGGATGGGGACTCCACCACTGCTCTGGGCTGCATTTAACCCCAGTCCCCAGCACTGCCTTCCAGGGCGTGCTGGTACAGGGACATGAGAAAAAGCACCAGGAGAAGTGACAGAGCTCTGTACTGCATTTTCATACAAATGTCTCTCCTGCTCTCCCAGACCTGCATAAACCAATGTTGTAAATCAGCTTCTCGTCAGACGTGGCTGTGTCGGAGGAGGCTGACATGACAGAGGGAATAACAGCCCCATTTCTGTGGTGCTGTAAGCACTTTGTTCAGCAAATAATTAAATCCTCAGAGCTCAGAAGCTTGAGGACAGACCTGGCAGCTCCTGCAGCAGCCTGGGGGTTTGGGTGCAGTTACAGCCATGGGTCAGTCACAGCCCACGTCACCTTCCCCTTTGCCCACCTCATGTTACATCTGTGGCAAACAAAAATCTTATATTATTAACCTTTTCTTTAGTACAGGGACTGATAGTCTGCCTTTTTAGGTGTCATTTGGCTGTTTTAATAACTTTTCTCTCTGTACATTCAGGCTCATATGTGCATTATTACAAGAGCATGTAGTGACAGGACAAGGGGGAATGGTTTCCAAATGACAGAGTAGGTTTAGTTTAGATATTGGGAAGGAATTCTTGGCTGTGAGGGTGGGGAGGCCCTGGCACAGGCTGCCCAGAGAAGCTGTGGCTGCCCCTGGATCCCTGGAAGTGTCCAAGGCCAGGTTGGATGGGGCTTGGAGCAACCTGGGCTGGTGGAAGGTGTCCCTGCCCATGGCGGGGGTGGAACCAGATGGACTTTAAGGTCCCTTCCCCACCCAAACCATTCTGTGTTTCTATGATTATTTATTTCATATTACATAAATATTTATTTTAATTATTTAGCAATATATTTAGATCTATAAAATGACACTTACTAACTCATCTTTTGCAGTTCATCTACACAAGGATCCATTCATTTTGGCTCTGCTTTGGAACTCGTGTGCTTTCCCAGTAGTAGTGTCCAGTTGCAGGAGGTGCCATTAAGACATACTTTCACTTGCTATTTTTAACCCATGTCCTTTTTTCAGCTCTCCACAAGCACATGTAGAATGTCAGGCTGTCAGGGATCTGTCTTACAACACTATTTCCTGGCAGGGGAAAAGGAGGTGTTCCTGAGAAATTACTTTATTATGACACATGGACATAAGCTCAGCTCAAGTCACCATCCAAATGGATGGTCAGGGGTGAGCTCTGACCAGATAACATGTCTGTGGCAAAATAATCACATTTATCAAATGAATCCTGCATCTAAATGTGCCAGTATTTACTGGATTTATAACCACAGCTTGGAGGAAGACAAAATTCAGAAGATTAAAGCCTGAAAAAATGTATGAATATGCAGTTTTCACTGTTACCAGGCACATGAAACATTGAGAAGGTGCTTTCTGGCTGGAATTTTCACAAGTGCAAAAAGCCTTCTGACAATTGGCTTGACCTTTGAAGTAGAGGTGATAGAGGAGCTGTAGCTGCTTTGGGTCACAAAGGGCAAGGGGGTCACCCTGGTGGGATGAATCATTCCAATTTTTGCAGCTTAACATGAACCCTTCTCCTCTTTCAAAAGCAGGTGACGCAGCAGGCACGGGAAAGGTTTTATTTTGCTTTTTCCATCTTTTTTCTAATTTAAATTGAAATGAGGATGTGATAATTACCATAATCAGGGGCAGCAAATGCACGGGAAGTAGCTCTGTGGAGGGGTTTTATTCTTCATAGCACCAAAAATCGGCCTGTGCTCTCCTGAGACTGTGCATTTTACTTTCTGATCTTCTCATACGGAAAAAAACAGGAAATACTTATTTTTAAGCTTTAAGAGCTTTTTCTCAGTGTCTTTGTTTTTTTCCTTTCAGACCTGGGCCTGGACCAGTTCATAGTGAAACGCTACGATGGGAAGGTGAGCACATCAAACTACTGAGTGTGTTTTATTCAGTGGCTTTTCTTTAACCTGGAATCCTTTAGTTATTACCTGTGTGAAGGGTGTAAATTAAATGAAGTGTTTGAAGTGTTCTCTTATGAGCTTTTTGCTGTTAAGTACAATGCAGTGTTTTTGCTGTAATGACAGAAAGATTGTTTTTATAAAGGGCTCTTGTTTTAATGTTTACAGTCAAAATATTACCTCTTCTTGTATTCTGGTGGGCCAGGAAATCATAGGTTGTAATCACATTTCCTTGCTGCTTCTCTCTGACCGTGTGAGAGCCCCACAAGTTACACTATTTCAAGAGGAACTCACTTAACCTTTCCCTTCCAGACTCACCTCCAGATTCCTAGAGGAAGGAGATGCTCTTGTGTTTTTATCTGCATCCCAATCATGTATTCCTCCCCATCAAACAGCTTCATTTTGTTCTCTTTTGAGCCCCAGGTCCTTCCTGCAGCAATGCATGACTGCTCTGGGTGTTTGTGCTGTCATGATGCGTGTTGGTAAAATGTTGAGCAAGTTCTGATCTAGTTCTGTGTCCCTGTGAAAGCATCCTACCTGTTATTGGGGATATCAGAGACCTAATTGTCCACCCTATAAATCCCACTGGGGTGGTAAAGGCCACTCTGGCCCTAGGACTGGCAGCTCAGATGCAGATAACTGCAGGTTGGTTAATTTTCCATCCTTTGGGCACATAATGGTCCTCCAGATTTCAGCTGGAGTATTTTCATTTAATCTGCATCGTCTGAAAATCTCCTGTTCCTCCAAAGGGACGTCAGCACCTGATCCCCTCATTGCTGCAGGATGCCCCTGACACAGTGTCAGGCATTTCCACAAAGCTCAGCACTGGAAAAAAAAGTCATTTAAAACTTTCTGTTAACACGGCGTGGGCTGAACACATGAGATTCCCTGGTTTGTGTTTGGTGGGGCCAGGTAAGGATGGAATGTGATCAGACACTGGGGTCCCTGTCAGCAGGGCTCACAAGTGTGCTGGTTACCCAGGCAGCAGAGCGAGGCTCTGCTTGAGAACAGACAACTGGGAGGTGTGTTTTGGCAGTCAGTTTTGATACATGAAGCTCCAAAGCGTGTCGTGAGCACTTGTTTTCTTTTCCCCCTGCCACAAACACAATGCCTGCGTTTTGTGATTCAAAAGAAACCAACCCAACCAAAAAAAAGGACGTATATTCTTTGCAAAATACCCACCATTCCTCCCTCTGATTTGTGACAGTCTGGTTTGCGTGTGCTCACTTTCATCACTTTATCTTGTCAGGCTTTCACCATGAGCAGGGTTTGTTTGTAGGGAAGAAGTGCTGAATCCCATGTGATTTTTGCTAATCATTCCTCTGTTCCCAAGCACTCCACAGTCAATTCCCAGCATGTTGGATAAAAGATCCAAAGGCAGTCCCTTTGAACTCAACTTTCTGGTCCTGTGCCCCTCGACAGCAGCAGCTCTGAGCTGTAGCAGACTGAAGCAGCTCTTTATGTACCTTACAGGTGTCTGTGCTGGGCTCTGGAAAGCCTGAAAGTGAGGCAGCACATTAGGGGACTGCAGTGCACTTTCTTTTGTTATTATCTTCTCCTGGGACCTATTTTCTCCACAGTCTAATTGGACCCTAGAAGCAGTGTGCTCTGAAAATGAAGAAATAGGGGTTCTCGTTTGCTTGGCTGTGCTTAAAGACACCTTGGGACTGGCTGAGTCTGGCCATGGCTGTCAGGGCAGTGGTAATGTCCAGGTGAGGGGATAATTGTGGAGAGCATAAAAAGAATTGTCCCTGGCTCTCCCTTGGTAATGAAAGAATTTGACAGTGGATTGATCTCTGGCTGCACCTTGCTCTCGTTTTGCTGCTTGCTTTGGGTCTCAGTTTCAGACAATAACCCTGCATTCTTCCAGCACAGCTGAGGTGCTGCAGAGCTGCCCTCCCTCACTGCAGCCTCACTGGCACAGTGGCACCCGAGGGCAGCTCTTGCTCCGGGCCTGTTCCAGCCACATTTTCCTCCTGGGTTATCCAAGCCAGCCTCTGCCTGCAGGGGGTTTGCCTTTGTGCCTCGGTGGAGCTGCTGAGCTCAGGCAGGAGGGTCAGAGGGCCATCCTTGTTCCCCTGAGCACCCTTATGGATGTCACACACAGGTAGTGAGAGTTGTGGTGCTCAGAACAGGCCTGTGCACTGGAAATTTCTTCTCCTCTTTTAAGGAGAAAGGAGTCTGTGAAGCTGTGCTGCTGAAAAGCACTGACAATCCACAGGCAAGATCCTGGCTGAAGAGTAGGAGAGAGGATTGATTTTAGTTCCAAGCAAAGATGTATACTCAGGTTTGAGTGCAAGTGATAGTTTAGAAGGAAACTCAGTTAAAAGACTGGAGCCAGCTGTGCAGTCAGTGGCATTTTAATTACAAGCTACAGGACAGTGTTTAAAGCATCCATGTGAATTTTGAGCATGTGTGTTTGAGATCTAAATCCTGCATCATTAGTGAGCTGAGGTAGGAGCTGCTCCTTTCACAGGACCCGTTGTATTTACATGACACTACCATCAAAACAGCTCATTGGCCACCGTGGGGTGATCAGGACTGGTCTTGCCAAAGGATTTTGGGGAGGGATGTGCCTCTGTTGCAGCTCTGTCTGTCAGGTTTCTGAGCCAGCTTGCTGGGCACGTGACTGAATGCCAGGGTGAGAGGAAAATACCTGGGTTTTTTCCCCCTCTTCCCACCCTCCCTCTCCCCAGTGATAATTTATAGAGTTGCTGGAGAGGGAGGTAAATGTTAATGCCTTATTAGTGGCAACAGTGCTCCTGTAATTTGAGCTTAAATGCTTTTTCTTCACTCATGCAAGACCAAAAACCCTGGAGACACTCATCCAGCAAAAACCTGTGGCCAGATCTGTGTGCCAACACGAACTCCTGCTTTTCTTTGACCTGCTGCTGGGCTGAGTGTGTAGGGAGGCAAGTTGTGGCTCCATTTTTGTCTAAGTGTGCTGGTTTCTCCCCTAGGGAAGTAGAGGGAATGAGGCATTGATTACTGTTCATTCAGAGTAGAAAAAAAAATATTAATCAGCCTGCAAACATTTCATATTGAGCCTGGGCAGAAGGCTGATGGGAGAATAGACACAGTCTCAGGGTATGTGGTGTGCAGGTGCCCAGACCACGATTCTTTGTCTGCTCCATTTCCAGTGTGTCCCCTTCCTCCTCTCCGACTTTGGCAGTGGGAAAGCAAGTGCTTTTTTAACCCATCTGCAGGAGAAATGTCTCATGTTTTAGTGATGAATAAGCTCTCACTAAGTAGCATATAATTCCTAGCACATAGAACCTGGCATAAGCTCCATTAATGTTACATAAGTTGCAATGCAGATTTTGTTTAAATAAAATTTTCTTTGTTTCGTGCCCTGTTTATTGATGGATTTTATTTTTTTTTTGGCTTATGCATTAATGGTTGACAAGCTTAATCTCTCAAAGACATAAAGAAGCAGTGCTGTTAATGTTTTTCCTCTTAATTGTGAGCTCCATATCAGAGCACAATCCCATCCTGTCCCCATCCTGGTGAGCCAGTGCAGGGGAATTCCCAGATGTCCCACAGCTGAGCTTCCAGCAGTGCATCCTGGTGGAAAGGGGAAGGTGAGATGAGGTGCTTTTAAGAGACCCCTAGCCTATGTAGGAAATAAAATCCTGACCCTGGATGGCATATTAGTTTAATTAGGATACACTTCACTTGACTCTTTTTTTTTTTTTCTCCTGTGGGGAGAATTCCTTGCTACGGCTCGATAAGAGCAAAAGCCTTGGAGCTACCAGCAACAGCTTCCCCTCCTGCAGTAAGTAATTAGAGAGGCTTTCAGTGCCCTCTAATTAAATTTATGACTTAAGTATTTCCTGCCAGCACTTGTATTTACATCTCTAGATGTTTGGGGATGCCATAGAGCAACGCAGAGCAAAAGCAAGGCGAAGGGCAAGGAAAATACTCAAGGTGGTTTCTCTAAAGGCCAGTGAAACCCCTGGAATTCTCTTCCACTGTGCAATGCAGGGTCATATCATGAACCAGTACAAGGAGTAGCTGCAGCTGCCCCGAGCTGAAGGTGTGTGTCCATTAAGGAGCAGTGGCTGGGAGTCAGCTCAGGAGACAGATTTCTTTCCAGATGATGTAAAGAGCATCTTAGGGGCCTGGAAAAATGTACTTGGGGAGGACCCCTGTGGAGAAGACTGGAGGTAGAAAGACCATCCTTTTCTGGTGGATTGAAGGATCTCGCTGTCGGCTTTGAAAAAAGAACCAGAAAGGAACCTTTATTTATTAGCCTGAATTTCTGGGTCCTTGGTTCTGTGGATGAACTTAGGCTGGACATAAGCTGCCATAGACCCAAGCTTGCAGCAAGTGAGACAAGCTCAAAGTCCTGCTGTCATTCAGGAGCCAAACACTGGATCAGAGCTCTGAGCTCCTGTGATGTTTAAGTGCCTCTGAAACCTTAATTCCAAAGGCTGCAACTCTAAATGTTCACAGTGCAGTAAATAGCAGCATAAAGTGCTATTGGTTTACTGAGCCCATTAGCTGAGAAGGACAGTCAGTGTGTTCTCTAACTGAAATACAATGAAAACAGGTGAGGAGTCCTCTAAATCCAACTCTGTGAGGTCTTGCCAGTGTCTGCTGTGACATGAATGTGTCCCCAGTGTCTGCAGTTGGGGCTGGTGAGTCTGGGTTGTGGCTTGCTTGGCAATACCTGGAGGTGTTCAGCTGTCCTGGTCCATAAGCCATGTCAAATGTCACTGTCCAGTTCAGATCTCCTGCCTCTAAATTCCTTCCCCCTCTGGTCTGAGCACAGGCAGTGTTTGCAGGATAACCAGGAGGTGTCTTCTCACATGGGGAATAACCTCACACTCCTCTGTGTGAACGTTCCCTGCCCTCCCCAGAGGTGTCGTGAGGAACTGGTGGGGGACAATCCTTGCCTGTGACTTTGTGAAGCAAGCAGAGATAATCAGCAAAGCTGAGCTGAGGAGATTCCTCTCCTTGGCTTTCTTGGCTGACACCACTGGGTTTCTCTGCTTGTTGGCTTTCTCCTCCCACTGCTTTGGTTAGTTCCTCTGTTTCCCAGTTTGCTGGGACCTGTGGGGACACTGAACTGTGCAAATTCTTCTCTTGGCTTGTTTTCCATAGCCCCAAATGTCATCAAAGGAAATGTTTAATTGCTCCTCACACAGGTAAATGCACCATGTACAAACATCCCTGTGGGCACCTGGGTTGCTTTAGGTACAGAACACACTTCACCCTTTCCTACCTCCTCTGCCAAATGTTTGTGGTGTATTTTGGATTTGACAAAGCTCTACTTACTGTTACCTTTCTGTACCCCTAATTTTGTTGCTTTTTTCCACAGGGCAAATACTAAAATCCTCTGGTTGCTCTTTGTCCTCTTTTATTCTGGTTTCAGGGTACCCAGCAGGTGTTTCTTCCAGCTACTAATATCTCTGAGATTTGTCTCTTTGTTCTAATTCTGATTTATGGTTGTTTTTGGTGTAACCAAGCATTCCCTCGTTTTCTTCCCTTTTCTAACCCTCTCCCCTTCCACCAGGATTTCTGGCAGGTACAAAGCAGACACAGCATGTGCTTTGACTTTTGTGCTTCAGACCTCATAATATGCACTTTTCATGTAAAAGGGACAGTGTACTCTCACCCCTTCTCCCTGGTCCTTTAATAAATAATCCTGAATCCTCTCCTGGATCCTCAGCCTGAAGGATTTCTTTCAGAACACCTGAATTTGGCTTGAGGAGAGCACAGTCCTCAGGGTATCCATTAAAACATGGCTCTGTTAACAGGGTTATGTTGGAGCAAAGCTCAGATGTGTCTCCCTGCCCTCCTGTTCCCACAGTGTCTTTTGAGGCTTCTGACTTATTTTGCAGCTTGATGAGACTGTGATAGAGCTGCCTCTGCTGGAAATTGGCCTTTTTCCCCTTGAGGCCACAGAGTTAGTTTGATTCTGTGAGAAGGAACAGGCGTCTCTCTGGTCAAATGCTTGGGGGAAACATCATCTGTTTGAAGGTGTGTAAATTTGGGGAAGGTTATGTTTGCAAACTTGAGTTTTTCAAGTCACAGACCTGTGTAGCATGAACTGTATTAAAGAATATTTGAGGAAGAAGGTGTTTAGGTATTATAGTTCATAAGATGGTTTGCAGGAAAAATAACTAGTAAGCAGAGGGGAGTTCATTCAATATTAGTAATTAAAGAGGAAAATTATACTCTAGCCACTCTCAGTTTGCCTTGTAGCTTTGTGACCTTAATGAAACCCACAGGGGAAATTAGGGGAAAAATAAACAGCTTGGTGTTATGCCCTCAGTGGGTGTATGCAGTCTGTTAATCAAAAAGTGGTTTCTGGGGTCATTTTTGGCTCTAATTTCTTTGATAGCTTTGCTGGTGTTGTATTAATGCCTAATACTTAAGGGACACAAAACTGGGCTCTGAGAACTCTGTCCTTGGTAACAGGGAGTTATGGGGACAAGGGGGATGGGGGGAGCAGGGTGGGAGGGAAGGTTTTAGGAGATGCTTGACCTCAGTGACTACAGAAGGAGGGAAGGTCTGGATGGGAGAAGCAGGTGAAGAAAGGAGGAGTGAGAGAGGGAAAGGGAATGGTAGGATTTTTAGCTGAGCCTTCATTTGGTTCCTTAAGCTGTTTGCAGCAGTGATGACAATCTCCAGTGATGTGTGGTTTTTCCCCAAATCCCTTTCTCATTCCATGGGTGATTTGCACCAAGTGTATGGCCCCAACCTCATCAACTGAGCCCGTGTTTAATGCTGGCTTTTTATACAGAATTATTATTTTCCTGGTGTCCTTTCACCCCCAGGGTTTCTGTCTGGGAGAAAGAGCAGCCTGCATTATCAACATGCTGAGTTCATCCTGGTAATGTGGGCTGAGAGGCAGGAGAGCAATATCCCAATTTCTGTCTGGAGACCTAAACAGCCATTTAAATTCCAAGGTGGCAAAAGTCAGCTCATTTTAGAAGTGTGATGTGGGCCATCAAGGACTGAATTTAAACCCTCCCCATCAAATTTCCATGCAAGATGCTGCTGTGATCCTACAGAGTGTGGTTTCATTGCCCTGAGGGGAGCACAAGTGTACACTGTCCCTTTTGCCAAGGCATTTCCTATCTGCTTTTCCAGCAGGGGTTTCTCCCTTGCATGAGTGGCTCTGCTGCCTGCCCAGGGTCGGGAAAGTCTGTGTGGTTGATTTTCTTGGTCGTACAGAATGCTGGCCTTGCATTCCAGGTGCCATTGGTTTGGGAGGTGATGGATATTTCCAGCCTCGCTGGAAGGGTGGGAATGCAGATTTCTCTTTCCAGTCTCAGGAGTCCACCTCTAGAAATAATTGCTGCCGGAGTTTTGATTCTGTCCACGTGTCCAAATTCAAATTTAGAGGGAGAGAATATGCAGGACAACCTCATCCATGTCCAGCTCTGTATTTTTTTGCCTCTGTGTATATATACAGATAAAATAACACCCCAGAATCAAAAGTTTTAAAAAACTCTTGATTAAAACGTACTCTCTGAAGGTCATAACCTGCAGATTACCTGCCAACAGTGAATTTGAAGCATTTTCCTGTGTCAGCACTCACCCACCACGATTTGCCATGAAGAAGCTGTTTGTGTTTCCCTGTGTTAATGTGCAGACTTCCAAGGAAATAGTCTGGAGCCACTGGGAGTGATGCTGTGAGCTGTCCCACAGCAAAAAGAGGTTTATGAGTTTCACAAAGTCCTTGTGCTGTTTCCATCACAGCCTCAAACACTTTTTTCTTATTAAATGATACATAAAAATGCGAGGGGATGCCTCTAAAGTGACTTATTTCACATCCACATTATACAGCTGGCTTTAAAAACTCTTGAATGGCTCCATTTTCCCCCAAGTCCATGTTTCATGGCATAGAGGGACCTCCCCTACCTCTTTTTCCCTTAGAGGGCTTTTGAACAATTGGGCTGAGAGGCTGCATTTTTAAATGTGACTCTGAAACCCTTTGTATTTCTTTATTCCAGTTTTATTTCAGGTTTCTTAATGTGAGGCACCACCACGAGTCGTCATGAAATCTCTAAATACGTGGCTTGGCTCTTTAACTTGTATCTTAAAAAAAAAAAAAGGAGCAAAATTAAAAATCTCCCTGTTTTCAGAGCCTGCAGTTCAGCATTTTGGTGCAGATGGGATTTGAAGGCATTAATATTTTTGGTAACCACAACAGGCTGGTTTGCACTGGCATTTCTAAAGGGTTTTCCTTTCTCTGTCTTGTGTGATAAACTAATACAAAGCATCTGCAATAAAAGCCTTAGTCAGCAAGTCCTGGTATGTATTTCCCTGGATTTTCAACAGCCCTGCTCAGGAGGAAGGTGTAGCAATCCATGCCTGGTAACCCTGCAGGTTCTGCTGGACGAGGCAAATAGGAATTCTTTCCCTTCTTTGCCTACAGTGAACCATGAAATAAACCCATTAATAGATGCCTTTTAAATGTTTTCCCCAACTGAAGGTGGGCAGTTGGGGCTGAAAGAGAATTGCTTTGCCTCAGGGTGACCTCACTCAACATTCCTGGGTTTGTATTTGCTTCCACAGTGTTGGTCACCTGGAAGTGTTTCTGTTCTGGAGGAACAGACTGAGTGTGATGACTGAGTTTGTCAGTGAAAGTCAGTTATGCTTCAGCAAAAATCACTTGCTAATTTACAGAATTGCTTTCTGGTTCTGGAGAAATCCTCATGACCTTGCATGCATTTGGAGGTGGATTTTGTTGTCCTTTTGGAAGGCCTAAGTCACTGTCAAGTGAGGCTGATAAATTCCTGAGCGTTTGGTTTGTGGAAGCACAGAGGTGATGCTGGAACATGAGGAATAACCCTGCCCAAAGTGTGCTTTCCCTGCAGACCAAACCCCAAACTGGCAGCTCACAGAGACTCCCAAGGATGTGTTCTTCCCAAAGTGGCAGATCAAGTGCTGCTCATTAAGTGGTTTCTGAACTGCCAGGTGAGGTGGATTTGCCAGGACTGAGCAGATCAGGCTTTTCCAGACCTGTGCTGGGGATGGGAACACCAGCACTGTGTCTGTCTCTGCCTCTGCAGAGGAGGGATCCCTTCTGTGCAAAAACACCCCTTTTGGGTTCAGATTTCCCTGGTTAAATATTGCCACATTTCACTTTTCACTCAGCCCTGGGGAAACAATTTTAAAATCAAAAATAAAGGTAGTGTTTGGCCAGGAATGGAAGAACTGGGGGGGGTTTTATCCACAAATCCTTTCTTTCCTGGGAGCTGTACCATGTACTTGGCCCGAGGGAGGCTCCAGGCCCCCAGATCAGTTCTGGGGTGGGATGTGTTAAGTCTGTGCTGTGTCTCTGGGTGCTTTGCAGGCAGCCTGAACACAAGACAACTCTGGGGAGTTGCCTGCATGCAACACTCCATTTATTCCTCTGGCACACAGGTTTGGGGGAGCTTGGTCACTGCATTGATCTGTTCAACCCCTGTTCTGCTGCTGGGCTTGGAGCCTGAGTTTCAAAGGGCAAATCAAGCTTTACATTTCGATCTTACATTGATTTTTTTATTTTTTTTTTCCCCTGTTGTCCGTGTCTGGTATTGTAAGATAACCTGCCTGAACGCCTGGCAAGTGTTTTGTTCCACTGAGACTGGACTGGTGGCTTTTCACTGAACTCTTACACGTGCTTGTGCCAAAAGCAACGGCATATTTGAATTTGTTTCTCTTTTTACGTGTTGATTTGGGTGTTTGCTCACCTGTGTGCTTGTTAACTATGAATCTACTGCTTGATTAAAAAGTACATCATAATTGTAAACTGTTTCCTGTGGCTTGCTCACTTGTGAATGCTTGGGTTTGGATGTGTTTTGGACATGCTGAATGATCTTAACCAGTTACTCTGGGTTTGGGAATGGGTTTAACATACAAAAAAATGCTGAATGGAAGAGATTTGACTGTTTTAACAGAGCCTTTGGAGAATTACCTTGTGTTCAGATGCAGAAGGGTGGGGGTAACTAAATTGTGAACATTACTCATCTCCAGAAAAGGATGAAGGTTTGCAAAGGGATTTTTCCTGAGGGGTTCTGAACCTTTCTGACTAAAAGGGACAATGCTGGAAGGAAAGTGGGATGTGCAAAAGGATCTCAAGGCTTGTACACAGTGTTTTAGGTGTTAGTGAGGGCTGACTTTGGGTCAGTCACCTTGGACTGTGATGGATCACAGCAGTGCTTTGTGCAGGAGGCAGATTGATTGATTTTCTCTTATTTTTCCTGGAGGTTCTATATAATTCTGTGGAATATAATGTTTCATGGTGGGGGCCAACCCCTGGGAAGGATGCTTTCAGCCTTTCCCATGGTGGGGTGGACTTCCCACAAATTTCATGGAAAGCAATCAAGCACAGCTTCTCAGTGAGCCAGAGGAAAACAAATGGGGGAGTTGGGAACTTGTTAAAACTTGTGTCCCAGTGCTGGGAGCCTGAAAATCTTATTGATCAGGTCAGCTGTTATTTTCTCTTATTGAGATCAATGGGAGAAATTCCCTTTTCCAAGAGCTGCAGGCAGTCACAGCTCATGTCCCCCAGGGGTGTGACCAGTAAATGCTTGTTTAAAATAAATAAATAACATTTTGTACTTTGTTTGCTCAAAGTAAGGTGCAAATGGGTAAATGCTTGTCCCTCCCATCTGTCTTTGTATTTCAGGGAGCAACTAACTTAATATGCTGTTTTATTGTTAGTCTGTGTTTTTCTCTTACGAGGAATATTTTGAGACTGTGAATTTTGAGCGCAGGAAAGAAACCCATAAAAATTAATAAACCAATCTCTGGAACTTTTTCGTGGGATCCTTGGAGCAGGATGCAAATAGGCAGTTTATGATAAATGCTGCTCAAGAGGGGCAGTCAGAGGGAGAGGCAATAAATCACACGAGCAGGTGAGATGCAGTTGCAGGAAACTGCTTTTCCTCCACAAAACCTTCCTCTGGTTTAAAGGTAAAACCAGATGCTGTTAATTTGTTCTTCACATCAGCACAGATGGATCCACGTACTTTGGATCCATCTCGATGGGAAGAGAAGCAAAACCATATTTTGGGTAAATGATAACTTCAGCCTGGTACCCCATAAGTATGAAGAGCCATTGCCTTGCATCAAATGAGTGCCATTAACATGTTGCCTACTGTTAGTGATTCACCTCTTATTAAATTCCTGGCTCTCTCCAGATGGTAAAGGCAGAGTTGCTGGGAAGAATTTTATGTGATCAGTAGAGCTGAACTGTTTTTCCCTGGAAACTGTTATATTTTTTGTGATCTGTGTGATTGTTTTTGTCTCTTTTTCTTGTGGTTTCCGAGCCAGATACGGGTTAAATTTTCATCTAAATTATTAGCTGAGCTCATCCCCACTCTGCAGCCACACACAATGGTGAGTTCTCTCAAAAAAAAAAAACCCAAAACCTGAGGTGGATGAGAGACATGAGCTGCAGACAGTGGGGCTGACCCTTGCTGGGATATCTCCGTAGGCTTCCAGCCACAGCAACCGCCTGGTTGCTTCCCAACTTTCTTGCTCTTGGCAAGCCTAACCATTCAACTTGATGTGATGTTGTGCCTGCTGGTTTTACTGTTGGTTAACCAGTGTTCTTTCCTTTCCTTGTATATGATGGGATCTCCGCTAGACAGAGGTAACAGGGGACAGTGCTGGAGCTGGACCCTCGTGTGGTGCTGTTTGTCGGTGGTTTTGCCTAAAACTGTTCCTCAATTCAGCCTTGCTCTCACCATGCCTGTGTGCTTGCATGGCCTGGTTTGCCCTGGAATAACCTCAGCCCCCCCTCCTCTCCTGGTTAATAATTTAACTCTCCTCCCTGTGTGCGTGTGCCTCCTCTGCTGAGCTCTTGAAGTGGGTCACCAGTGTGGATTCCCTAACAGTTGGATGGATCCTTTTCAGCCTTTGAAGGTCCTGCTGATCAAAGGGACCCAGATTTTTGGCTTAGTAAGATGTCACGAGGTGGTAATTGAAAAAGAACTGGAGCAAGAGGGAGGTTGAGATGGGTTTCAGTCCCAATCCTCCTCGGGAGGTTGTACCCACACACCTGAGTTGTGTGTTACTGAGAACTACATGGTTTTGATAACTTAAAAAACATCCTTCATATTCACCTCAAATAGTTCTTTCTTGGCTGCTGCTGCAGCAGAGTCTAACTAAAAAGCTGTTGGTGAAATATCCTTGCCTTGCTGCATCCTATACTAAAAAATTCTGATTTTCATAACACTAATCTCAAAGATTCTGATCATTTTAAGCCAAGTGGCTGTAGTTTTATTTATCTGTGTGTCACCTAGGCTAAACCAACTGAGCAATCCTGTGCAATTCCTTATCCCTCATTTGAGATAGGGAAGCACTGATCTTTCCAGAGCTTTTCTGTCAGATTTGAAGGCTGGAAAAGGTCCACTGGATGTGAATAGAGATAGTAGGGGTGTGTGTCCGTGGAGTGGCTTGTTGGTGGTAAGGATACAAAGAAAACCTGCCATTTCTCCATTTAATTGATTGCTTTCTTCTCTCCTTTTGGGATGTGCTGGGGTGAACCAACAGAAGCTGTCCCAGGAGCGGGAGAAGTTTGCTGACGAGGACAGCATCTTTTATGCCCTTGGGGAATGTGGACTCATCTCCTTCTCCGACTACATCTTCCTCACCACGGTCCTTTCCAGTGAGTACTGGGGGTTTTCCCTGCAGTTACTGCATTTTTTGGTTTTGAAGGTTCACAAGCTTTGCCCTTCTTGTCTCCCTGCATTTCCCTAAAAGGCACCTTGGGTTGCCTGCAGCTCGAGCTGAGGAATTGCTGTTGCTTCATCGGGTTTAGGCCGAGCTTCGGCTGCTTCGGGAGACGAGCAGATCGATGACTTCTGGAGATTTATTTCTCTTTTTGAAATGTGACAGCTTTTTTTTAATGAGTCATTTGACCTGCTGTTCAGAGCTGTAAATGGAGCCGTGTTCTCAGGCTGTGTTCATATGACATCCTTGTGTTTGGATGAACGTTGCTGCTGGGGTCCCGCCTGCCCCAAACTCCCTTTTCCACCTCTGTTTCCACTTGGGTGAGCTCAGGCTTGTGTGTGATGTAACCCAATGAGGGGAGAAGTTAAGCTGTTTACATTTCAACAAGTATCACAGATACCTTCTGTCTTTTCACCCCTCTGCACTTGCCTTGCATTTGTGATATTTCTGTGATCTGCTGATCTGTTCCAGCAAAGTCTTCTGCGCTCCGAGTGCTGGCACTTGAAAGTTTGCTTTGTTGGCAAGAACCAGTGAAACTGAAGCCTTTGGTAATGTCAAATGGCACTTCTAGACTTTCTCCACGTGGAAATCAAGCTCCAAACCTCATTTGCACAGCTTCTCTGGCTGCTTGGAAGGTGCTGTGTCATAAACAGGAAAGCCCACGGCAATTTTTCAGCCCTGTTAGAAAATGGGAGTAATGGGGGCAGTGTCCAAATGAACTTGAGACCTTTTATTTTCAGGCTAATCTTCTAAGTATCCATTTCATGATGACCTGATCTGTGGAATTAAAAAGCTGGACACTTCCCAGTTCCCTGCAGCCCCCTGTGCTGCTGCCCTGTGCAGGTCAGGGGTCAGCTGGGTTAATCACCCAGGTTTCTGCAAAGCAGCAGCTGCTTTATTTTCCCTCCCTGTTCTTTCATGCTGTAATATGGAGACATGAGAGGCAGCTCTCATTTACTGAGGATCTATTCCCAGGGAGAAGCAAATGGATGTGGTGGGGGAAGACTTGTATGTGACCTTCATGTTATGAAAACAAACTCTGAGAGATGAAGCTGATTCAAGCCAGGGAATTTGTTTTATGACTTTAATCTGCTTTTTTTATTTGACTGAGTCTCAGAACTGGCTCGTAGGACCTTTGCTGTTCCTTTCTTACATTCATCTTGCCTGTGCCAAAATGATCTCCAGGTATTCACCTGTGCAGAGGGCTTTTCATTGCAGTCTCCACAGATGACAATGAGCTCTTAAAGCCTCTGGTATCACATTGCTGGATGTGGTTTAGAAAACACTCTTGCCCTTGTTTTTATGGCTGTGCTGGTGGTGAACAACCCCATCATCAAAATTAATTTCATGTGCTTCCACAGGCAGCAGTAAAGAAAAATTGTTCTTGGTTTGGTGTAATTTCTTTGTTGTGAGAATGAAAGAAAAGGACCCCCTTGTGTTGGAGGAACAGCCTTGTTTTGGAGGGCTCTGCAGGAGCAACAGGGGTTTTTTTTCCTCTTGTTCTTGGGCTTTTAAACACGTTCACAATTACTGGGGAGTTAGTCAGACTAACAAGAGCAGACAGAACTGGGTGGTGTGTGCTTTGAGGAGCCATGTGAAGGGCAGGCAAGGCAGGAGCTTTCAAAAAGGAAAATTAAAAAAAAAAAAAGAGAGAGAGAGAAAAAAAAGGCGTTCCAGGGCTTTTAGGCTGAGTTTTAGGTATTTTGGGAGTTTGCTGAATAGTTACTGAAGATGGAGGAGTGTCTCTGGAGCTACAGTGATTCCCCAGAGGAAGAGTTTTGGTTTCATTTGTAAAGCCTTTGCTTTTATAAAGATAAAACTCCCAAACAAACCTTGCCCTGTGGCTAAATAGAAAATTCTCTGTTACACCACGCTGGTTCCAACTCCTAAACGTTACCTTACAGGAATCCAGCAGTTTCTGACTGGTTTTTTTTCCCCTGGGAAATAAATAAAATAGCATGAGGAAAGTAAGTCTTAAACCAGACAATTCAATATTGGTTTTCTCCCTGTGTTTTTTAAATAACCCAATCATTAAGGAGGTATCTGGCCAAGAGAGACATCAAATAGGTAACACCCCCTAAATACTGGGAAAGGAAGGTGGCATACTGGGCACTAAGAGAGGAGAGTCTGACCCCACACCGTGTTCACGAGTGATTCCTGGCCCGAGCACTCTCTGCTCTGAGTTTCTGTGAAAATGTATTTTTAAAACAATTAATAAAACAGCTCTTAAGTGCTTCAGAAAGTCAGCCTTCTGTTAAAAGCAATGAGAGCTGAGGGGCCTCCAGGAGGCTCCCTGCTTTCTGTTGCTTCAGCTGCTCCTCATGTTTTGGGGCAGAGATAGACAGATGAGCAAAGCTCGGGATAAGCAAATGCTGATTTTTCTGGATCCTTCAGATTTCTCCTGGACCCTTCAAATGTCACAGGAGAGCAAAGACATGGCTTCCCTGACCAAAGAGGTTTTTGCTTTTGGACTTGCAGAGCAAGTGGAGGAAGGAGGGAAAGAGCTTTTCCATCATCAGCAACTGCAATTTCCAAGCAAATGGGATCTGTTACCCAGCTCTAATGTCGGCTTTATTAACAGGTACTGAAGGGAGCTGGGCATTAACAGGATAAATTGGTGTTGTTTCCACAGTTGGACTGTCTCTGTGTCTGAATTTAATCCTCCTGCCAGGAGGGTTAAATAACACTGGCTAAAGCCACAGTAATCACTCTCTTGCCAGGGCTCTAGTAGCAAACCTGCAGCTCCTTCTCCCATCTCCTGTGTTCTTTCTAGACTGCAGCAAGCTCCATCCTTAGGATGGATTCACCTGGGTCATTTTTTTTCTCTCCCCTGTGTAGGAAATAAATCCCAAGCTGTCTGACCCTGGGAATGATGTTATGGCCAGATCCTGAGTGCTGTGTGTGTCCCAGTGATGGAGGGGGCAGGGAATGTTCTCCCACACTGCTGCAGCAGGTGACACGATTTCCAGGGCCTGTTTGCTCTGTTGGGGCTGTTCTGAGCAGGTATTCCTGGCTGACAGGAATGTCTTCAGCCCCCATCCTGCCACAAGTGAGGTCTGTTATCTCTGTGATCTTATCAGTGATGGCTTAATGCTGCTTTGCCCTGTGCCACAGGGCTCCTTTCCACAAGAAAAGGAGGTAAAAGGTTGTTTTGAGTTCATAGGACTGGTTTTGTTTGTGGTCCTGGTCATGTTAATTTTATCTTTAGTCTTTCAAGACCCTCTGTTTGCCTACTGTGGGTCCATCTCACCCCCACTTTGGTGCAGGGATGTCTTGGTGCCTTTCTGCCAGCCCAGTTGCTGCAGGGGTGTTTCCCAGATGTATCTGAGCAACACAGAGATTATTTTCCAAGGGATATCCCTCCATCCCTTCTGGATGTAAGCCTGGTGGCTCTCTGTCACAGTGAGGGCTCTCTGGCTCAGCATCCCAACCTCTGCTGTGGAGTGGTGGCCGTGCTGAAGGACAGGGCAGGAACAGGATGGATTCCTCACAGTTTGGAGTCTCTCCAGGCAGAGCTTGGCCTCTCTAATTTAAAAACTGCCACTGGGGCATGGGATGCTCTCCCAGCCTCTCCTGCAGTCTTCCCATGGTCCTTCTCAGCCCATCACTTCATCACTGGCCTGCTGGGATGAGCTGATGGATCTCCACCAACCTCCCGTGTCCCAGAGGATGGGGAATTCCCTGTGGGAAGGACTGCTCTGCATGCAGCACTTGTCAGCCTCGGTGAGAAGTTCCAGAAACCTACTTATGGTTATTTCTGTAGAATTAGGAAATGGAATAACTTTGTGCTGCTCATAGCAATATCCCTGAATAACAGAGATCAAAGGAAGGGACAGAGGATTCTGCTGCAAGACATCACAGGCACTTAACTTGTGTGCAAGCACGTGCTGCACGAGCTGCAGTGGGAGTCAGGGGGAAAGACTTGTTGAGAGGAGTCTCCAAGTGTGGAATATCGAGTTTGGGGGAAAGAGAAGATCAAATGAGTGCAAAACCAGAAAAAAACCGTGGCCTTTTTCTTCAGCAAGCTCTGAATATCTTTCAGAACACATTGCTGCTGGTGAGAGTACGGGGCAGTAAAGAGCAATTGAGTGCTGCAAATTGGTCCTTTGAATAATTGGAAGTGGTTTAAAATGGCATAATTGGCTTAAAGATGCCTAATCAACCCATCTGATCCTTCGAGGCTCCCTGGGGCTTTACACTGATGGATGGAGTGGGTTTTTCAATGTGGTCAGAGCTGCTGCTCCTCATCTGTTTGTGTGGTGGAAGTTGCTCATCTTCATAACATTCCTGTGTGTGGCTTTTGCTTTTCTTGCTGCCTTTCTGTCCCAAATACTTGATTGGAGCAAATGAATCAAGAAAAACATCAATTGCCTTTGCACCAACTCCCAGGTTAGCTGAAGAAGCAGCTTGGTGTGTAGGGCTGGTGGAGTTACAGATCTACAGGATCATTTCAATCTGATCTTTCTAGACATGGTTCCATATATGTCCAAGGTAGGAATAGGTAACTCATGGATTGAGAGGGATGTGGGCTCCAGGACCACGTTTTCACTCATGTTGGTCTGGTGAAAGGTGTCCCTGTCCGTGGTGGGGTTGGAACTGGATTATCTTTCAGTTCCTTTCCAACCCAAACCATTCTGGGATTCCACATCAATGGTTTGGAGGAATCATTAGGAAGTCACCATATCCTCCCTCGTTGCAGGAAGAATATTGCATTCATTTGGAAGCATCTTAATTAAGGGGGCACTGGGGAAATTTAGAGAAACTGCAGTTGGGAATAGTAAAATTGGAGGGGCAAAATAAAAGGGGGGAAGAGGCTATATCCAGCTGAGCAAACTGGTATCTGCTGCTTTCACTGTCTGCAAGTTTCAGAGCTGGAAGTGCAGGAGGAGGAAGAGAAATGGAGGTTGTGCAGGCTGAGGTAATGGGGACCAGGAAGGGACAGGGTGGGTGCACAGTCAGTCTGCCCAATAAATCCTGGCCAGAAGCATCACAGCCAAGGGGAGAGGCAGGAATTATCTCACCCAGGACCCATAAATCCAGTCCTGGAGATCAGGAAGGTGCATCTTAATGCACATTCCTTCCTGAGCAGGAGCAGGGTGAGCTAATTGTTTGCAGTGCCCTCTGGTTCCCCTGGCTCAGGTTCATTGTTTGGATTGAAGTGTCATCACACGGAATTGGAGAGGGATACACAGATCAGAGTGTTGCTTATTAGCTCAAGGAGTGAAGTAATCAGATTTGCCAGTTGAAAGCCACATCGCTTCCCTGTCCTTAGAAAATACTGAGCCTGCAGATTTTTGATGCTGAACTGTTCATTTTAATCTTGCAAGGGTTGTTCTTTGATAAACTACTCCTGGAAATGTGTATTTAGAGATGTAAAAGGAAGGAAATGGCCCTTGAGAGGGGTAAGTAAAGTATTTTGCTTTCTCTGTTCCTCCCCTGTCTGCACAAATGGGATGTGCTATTCTTTTATATTATATATTTTAGATTGCATTATCTATATTATGTTTTCTTAAAAAAAGGGGGGGAAACCCAAACGCCAGTTTTTAACAAGGAGTAACAAATTTTCCAGTCTCCAAATAAACCTGGCAGAGAAAATGGGGGAAGAAGGATGGGATGTGTTGATTGCTCTTTTTCTGGAATCTTGTAATTAGATGAGAGTTTTGCCTATTCCTCCTCTTCCTCATAGAGGAAATATCTTCCCATGCAGTGCTAGGCAGAGGAAATTGCCTCCAGGCTTTCACGCAGCACTTGCAATTAGAGGGAATGTGTTTTATTTAAATATTAAGACAGTAGCTGGAAACTTGTTGCTCCTCAGGAAAACGGGGAATTCATCACTGGCAGTGCTGGATGGATACAGAGGAGGCTTTTTGCATAAATCCCTTAAATTAGATGTATCATTGGAGAGATGAGGAAGGTGGTGCTGGGGACAGGGGGACCAGCTGTCCCCAGCTCAATTAACGCTGGATTAATGAGGGAGGGCAAGCAAAGGTCTCCCATCCCAGCAGCAGGGTGGTGGAGCTGGGGCAGGGCAGGGATGTGGGTGGAAGGGGGGTGACCCACCACGTGCTGCTGGTCACAGGAGCCCTTGTTTGTGCACGTGGGGTTGGAATCCAGGGCTGGCAGGGGGAAATGGGTAATGCAGGGCTGACCAGGGCTGTGTGTATCAAGTGGGTAGTGACAGGCTGTTCCTGCCACCAGCTTTGATGTCACTGTCCATCTGTTCGGGGCACAAAGTTGTTTGGGGAAAGGGATCTCATTAACATGTTTGTTGAATCTTTTTGTGATAAAGTGCTACCAGTTATTACAGCAAGGAGAAAACAGCATGTAAAAGCTTCCTGGTCGTGGATTGGGGCTGCAACTAACGTAAAAAATCCACTTTGGTTCATTCCATATTCATTTCCTTTTGTCTGAGTGATTCCTCTTTGCCTTCCCCCTACCAAGGAGATGCCTTGCCACACAAGGGTGGTTGCAGAAACTCATTATTTTTTGAGCATCCACGGGAGATATTCCAAGCTGATGGCACAGATGAGGTTAAAGAGGGGTGAGCCTCACCAGTGATCCACATCCTGCTGCCAGATTTGGGTGGGGAACAAAAAAAGGGGCTAAGTTTTAATTGGACATTTCAGATGACAGCCTAAGCACTAGTTATAGCCTAGAGGATTCCCTAGAAATCCCAGCAAGCACCAAAATTCCTGTAGGTGGTGTGTATTTGAAAGTAGCAGAGGAAGAGAAATTCTCATCTATTTGCTTAATATGGAAAAAAAATTGTGGCACTGTGTTGTAGCTTCAAATGGTGATGGGTTACAGAGCCCAAAATGGAAAGGCACTAAAATCTTGTGGTGGGATGCAGGGGAAAGAGTGTGGTTTGCTGGGATGGGTGGCTGGGAAGTGCTGCCTTTGCAGAGTTCTGCCTAAATAAACCATGACAGCACAGACTAAATGCAATGAAAAATAAGGTACAGCGGCGTCTCAGCTGCTGAGCTCCAGCCCACACGTTGTCTCAGTGTCATAACTGGACTGAGACAGGGTGGGAATGATTTGTTTAAATTTGTGCAGTGAGACAAGAGCCGAGTCTGGAGGAGAATTACCCAAATTCCAGGTCTGCCCCTCACCCACCAACTGCCTCACAGAGCACACAAAGTGCTCTGTGGCACCTGGGGAGCCTCCTCTGGCCAAACTGGGGTTATTGCTGTTAGAAATGGTCATTAGAAATGTCAAATAGTGTCTTGCTTTCAAGATTTTTCCACCTCTAAATGGAATAAATGTTGTTCAAGAAACATCTCATCCCAACTCCTTGTCTTGAGGTTCCCAAGAGCTGCATTTTCTTTTTAAAATTGCGAGAATCAGGGAAAACTTCTTTTGGATAAAGTCTTTCAGAACCTGTGCCATTTTTATGGAGCTTTTGTGTCTTTGTTAACTGTTCTTTTTATTGTGCTTTGTTGTTTTTTTTTAATGTAGCTCCCCAGAGGAATTTTGAAATTGCCTTTAAGATGTTTGATCTGAACGGTGACGGCGAGGTGGACATGGAAGAGTTTGAGCAGGCAAGTTGAACAAAAGGTTGATTTCCTAATGCTGCAGCATCTCAGTCACAAGTGCAGTGCTCCTCTGTGATGTTACTGTGTTATATATTTGTGGTTAGTGCTGGTTTACATCTTTTCCTCCTGAGCTCTGCTGCGTTGCCTCAGCTTGTGGGGGTTTTTAACTGGCAGAATTTTTCATTCAACTAGGACAACCATTTCAGATTTCCTGTGGCTTTGTCACCAGTGTCCAAGGCCAGGTTGGATGGGGATTGAAGCAGTCTGGGCTAGTGAAAGGTGTCCTTGCCCATGGCAGGGGGTTGGAACGAGATGGGCTTTAAAGTCCCTTCCAACCCAAACCACTCTGTGGTTCTATAACAATTCTTTAGAAGATGTCACCTCCAAAGTAGATAAAGAACTTCTTTTCACTCCACTGATGTCATGGGATTTTCATCCTACTTCCTTCCACAGCTTCTACTGTGTTCCTTAATCTTATTTGTCTTTAGGAGAATTTATCCACTTACTCCAATATAATCCAAAAAAGTGTTATTAAGAGCATATTTTCATTAGTCCTCTACTTCTTACAAGACTTCATCAGCAGGGAGTTGGATGCTGGCTTTTTAATGAGCTCAGCCTTGGTGTCTGGTGTTGGTGAGCTCCTCCTCTGAGCTGTGGTTTGTGGTTGTGTCTGAGTGAGAACTCGAGTTGTCAGAGGGGAAAAGATCTGCCCTCCCCAGGCAGGAGTGTGTGATTTTCCTGCCTATGTAGGAAACACTCTTAGAGTTCTGGGAACTCACAAGCACCCTGAAATCACAGTATATTAGCAAAGCTCCCTGCTTGTGCTGCTCATAAAAGGAAATTTAAATGCCTTTGCAAACTGACAGCTGGGGCCACAGCAGCCCTGAATAATCCAGTCACAGGTTCTTACCAGTTATTCAGTGACTGGTTCATTTCAAAAGAATCTCTAGAGGTCATGCTTGTGGCACTTGCTATAAGTGGGAGGATCCAGTGGCAAAGGAGGTCTGTTAAATCAGTTCTCCCCATCTAATCTCTTGCTGTCATCCTCCTGAAATTATTACCTGTGGGGATGATGTCATGGTCACGAGTTTGCTGCAGAGCCAGGGAACAGAGCTGGGTGGCTGCGGGGTTTTGGATGCACACTTTGCACTCTGAGGAGGATGGAGTATGTGCATCTGCAATCTGATATCCCTTCACTTGACAGCCTGAAATGTAAACCCAGGGGGTTGTTCATTTTCCTTCCTTTCCTTCCTTTTCCAAAGTAAAAAACGCTGGTTTTCCTTCCCTCCACGTAGTGCACTCCCCTGCAGCTCTCTGATCAGCTCGAACGTGTTTTATGGCACTTAAAATGTTCTAGAATTAAATCAATTATGGCAATATGTGAGTTTAGGAGAAGCAGAGAACGATTAACCTCCTCCTAAAGATGCAGTGGCACCGAGGTGCCAATACAGGTATCCTTCTTTATGAGCCATGTGAAGTGAGGAAGAACGTTCCTAGAGGATGAACCTTTCCAAAGTGCCACGCAGATGAAGGTGCAAAATTGAATTAAATGATTTCCAGTCATCCAGTAGGCCAAGGGAAGTTATCCATGCATTAAGTCACATAAAAATCCTTAGGAAGGGGAAGGTGTTTTTGTTAAGCTTGTTACATGTGTCACTGCCTCTGTAGGAAGGAATAAAGTTCCTGGTTAGCATCAGAATATTTTGGTGAGGGCTGATCTTCCAGAGCTTGGGAGTCAGAGGATGAAGGAGCCGTTTTGGGAAGTGAGGAAAGCTGACACTTGTGGTGGTGTCTGAGGATATTGATTTGCTGCACTTCCCAAACAGAGTTAAAACAAACACACAGCTGCTTCGGTGGGGGGCACGTGTGCCACACTGTGCACACATATAATGTAACAAACAGTCATTTCTGTGATAAATACTCTTGTTCTCTCCTCATGCAAGTGCCTCGGTAAGGGCATGAAGGGGGTGGCAGGGGCTGCAACTCCCTCCTGTAAACATCCTACCTGGAAGGAGCAGCTGGAACTGGCCCTTCCAGGGGATTGTGCTGCTGGAGGTGACCTCAGTTTACTAGAGCAATATCTTTTGGGGGAGAATGGGTAGAAAAGGAAGAAAAACATCATTCCCATGTGAGCACATGGGAATGAACTTCCTGCTCCTCCTTCACACGTCTCTTAGGAGACAGCCAAAAGCAGGTCCTCCTTCTCATTAATGTCTGGAAACCCTAGGAGTATTCAGGGCAAAAGATTGCTTCACTAATTTAGCTAGTATGTGAGTTGGAGGCTTTAACTACCTTATAAAAAATGTTGAATTTCTTCAGGCCTTGCTGAAAAGCCTCAGATTTTCTTATCCAGCTGATGCACATGGTTAGTGCATAGTGCTGAATAATGTGGTGCCTGCATCAGTATCAGCTCCAACTCTTCATCCTTCAGCATGTAAATAGTGAGTTTACTCCTCTGTTTTTAATTAAAAAGTTGGCTGAAAAGTGATGAACTTGCAGGCAGTGTTACTGGTGATTTCTCTTCAAACCATTAACTATTTTCATCGATTTTTATTTTTTTTACTTTTTCTCCCCTTCATCTGGTGCAAAAGATGAAGCATCACAAACACTTAGGCTGAAATATGAACAAAAACAGCAGAGCATCTCAGTGCTTCACATCCTGGTACAACTGATGAGCTGTGGGTGAGGACAGCTCTTTGCTTTCTGGGTATTAGAAAGATCACTCAAAACAGGGAAATAATTTTGTCTCCAGTGCCCACAGGTGGATTTTCAAACAGTCCACTGCTTGTTATAGATGGGAGAGGAGAATAGAGCTGGTGGGGTGCCACATAAATAACAGGCAGGCAAAGCTGCTCTGTGGAGCAGTCTGCAGTGGTAAACACTCGTGTAGAACAGGGGCAGTTTTCCAGGCTGGTCACAAACTGCATTGCATCAGACAGTCCAGAAATATTTGTGTCTGGAATGTGCTGCGTGCAGAGCTCACGGTGGGAGTGGAGCACAGCAAAATGGGGAGTTGCAAAAATCATGGAATCCCAGAATGGACCTTAAAGCCCATCTCATCCCACCCCCTGCCATGGGCAGGGACACCTTCCACTAGCCCAGGTTGCTCCAGCCTGGCCTTGGACACTTCCAGGGATCCAGGGGCAGCCACAGCTTCTCTGGGCAACCTGTGCCAGGGCCTCCCCACCCTCACAGGGAACAATTCCTTCCCAATATCCCATCTGTCCCTGCCCTCTGGCACTTTGAAGCCATTCCCCCTTTTTCCTGTCACTCCAGACCCTTGTAAATAGTCCCTCTCCATGTTTCTTGTAGGCTCCCTTCAGGCCCTGGAAGGCCACAATTAGATCATCCCACATCTCACATCACAGGGCATATTTTAAAAAAACAAACAAAAAACCACCAAAACCTTTTTCATGTATTTTTTCCCCTTTATTTTCTCCTCATTTTAATTTCCCTTGTAACTGAAGAAGAGCCAGCAGTGCCTGTTGGAGGCAGCATTTCAGCCGAGGTGAGCCCAGCAGTGATAATGCAGCATTTTCCTCCCCAGCATCCCCTGGGGGATTGTTCCAGCGCTTTCCCCCTCGTTAGGAGAAAACTGAACGTGCCAAATACCACACTAATGAGGTTCCAGCATCCTTTTGACAGCTGGGGCTCTTGGCAGCTGTTTTTCTTCCTCCCTTCCAACTTCTGTCGGTGGGAGGAAGAGGCTGAAGGCAGAGCAGTGGTGTTTGCTGGAGCTCTGGGAAGCCTGTGCTGTCAGGTGGCTTTTTTTTTTCCCCCTTCTTTCTCACACTCATTATCTTTTAACACAAATCCTTCTGCTGCCTTGTTGGAAGAGATCAATTTTTACACAGAGAACAAGTCTGGCTTCTCATGTCCCAGCCATAATCATTCAGAGGGGCGGGTGCTGGGAGGGTTTAGTGGGATACTCGAGGGATGGAGAGAGGAGGTGAGTGTGTATTTCAGTTGGCTGCCCCATTAAATTAGCACAGGACCCTCAAAATAACAAACTGTGGGATTTTTCAGGCTGTCCCATCCTTGAAGTTCAACCTTTTGGCATGCTTTAGGGGGTAGGGAAGTCTTTTGGAGAGCCCTTTGCTCTGGCTGGGACAGCCCTAGGGATGGAGGAGCTTCCAGAGCAACAGGCAGCAAGGAGGGGAGTGTGCTTGGGTAGAAACCCCCTGGATTTGTGCACAAGTGGAAAAGAAACGTGTTGTGAGCTAACTGGGGTTGCTGTGAGCTCACAAGGATGTGCAGTGAAGGAGTGGAAGGTCCAAAACACGTGCAGGGTGTTTTCTTCCTCACAGTTGCCATGGCTTTCTCACCTCTTGTGACTTTGCCAGGAACAAGCTGGTCTGTGCTGACCAGGCACGGGGTCAGCACTGGAATGTTCATCTGCAAAAACTGGGTGAATTGTTTCTTAAAACTCACTTTAAGCGTGTCATGCTTTTCATTCTTTAAAGAGGACTGAAAGAGCAAAGCTTAAGTTGCCCAGAGAGGTTGTGGACTCCTCATCCCTGGAAGTGTCCAAGGCCAGGCTGGACGGGGCTTGGAGCAACCTGGTCTGATGGGAGGTGTCCCTGCCCATGGCAGGGGGAGGAACTAGATGGTCTTTAAGGTCTTTTCCGACCCAAACCATTCTGTGATTCTGTAAGTCCAGCCAAATTTTTGAATCGTCTTGTCTTTTAAGAATTATTTTAGGGAAAAAAAAAACAAACCAAGAGGATGACACAGCTGATCTTGGAGTACTTCATATGGTACTTGAGTGGTACCCCCGGGTGGTGGTGGCTTTGATTGTGACCCCTCCCTGTCATTTGCAGGTGCAGAGCATCATCCGCTCGCAGACCAGCATGGGGATGCGGCACCGGGACCGCTCCACCACCGGCAACACCCTCAAGACCGGCTTCAACTCCGCCCTCACCACCTACTTCTTCGGGGCAGAGCTCAGGGGCAAGCTCACCATCTCCCACTTCCTGGAGTTCCAGCGCAAGCTGCAGCACGACATCCTCAGGCTGGAGGTTTGGGCTGGCCCTGGGCACAGGGAGGGCTGGGCTGCAGGACACGGCTTTGGGAGCTCAGAGGGAATTTCTGCTCCTGGATCAGAGCTGCTGGTACATTCCTGGGGAGCATTCCCCTAAGGACCGTCTCCAGCACTGGCAGGTCGCTGGAGCAGCATCTGGCACGTCCTGGGTGTGTGTCCCTGCCCGTGGTGCTGCCTGGCTGTTGCCTTGGCACTGCTGCTGGGGATGATTGAGGTGATCTAGGGAAAAGCAGTAACAGAGGCTGTGAGGGGCCTTGCAGAGGAGGGTTTGTGGCACTCCTGATCAGTGAGCTGTGCCCTGAAGGAGCGGGGTTTATAACCTTCCCCAAACTCTTCATCTCTGCTGTTGTCCCCACCTTTTTGTTTGCCTCGTTATTCTGAGTGTTGTTGCTGTGTTCCAGCCTTGTTTGAATCCTGCTAACGAGCTGTTCTCTGTTATATGACCTCTGTGGTTCACTCCTGGATTAATATGTTTTATAAGACTTGTTGTCCATCTCTCCTGAGGTTTTTACCTTTCAATTGTATTGAAAATCTCTTTTTTTTCTTGGCATTACTGTGAGTTAACAGCAGCTCCCAACCTCCTGCTTCTAATCACCTGGACTCAAGCATCAGGCTTCAAAATGTGGTTCTTTTGTATAAAATGAGTACAAGAACAGCACTGGGGACTTGCTGGTCTATCCCAGCTCCCAGGTGGAGCTGACTCAGTTAGGAATGATGCCCAGCACTGCATCAGGCTCAAAGGTTCGACCTGGCTTGAGCAAAGCTGGGCTTTTATTTGCAGTGGAGATGAGGATTTGTGCACAAGAAGATCCCCCACAACCATAACCTTTTAGGCCAACAGCATTCAGAACTCTGTTGTTTCAGTCTGCTGTCTGATTGTTCACATGCTCAGGGTTTTATTTATTTATCCAGCATTTTATTAAGTTCTTATTAAGTCAGTCTTGCCATCTTAAACTGAATTTATTCCCTTTTTTTATTTGCAGTTTTACAATTCTAAGTGAAAAACTGATCCAAGGACTGCTTTTTTTTTATTATTATTTTTTATGAAGGTAATTGCCCAGTTCACTGACTTCATTTCATGGTCATTAGAGCAGTGGTGTGGGGGGAATAGGCTGGGTGAAGACAAGGTTCTTTGTGAGCTGGGAAGTGTCAGTTCCTCGGTGCCTCTGCAAATTGAAACAACTAAAATACTTTTAAGTTTAAGAAACATAAGCTGCAACTTGAATGCAAAGGGAAAAGAAATAGAGCTTATTCTGTCCTTGTTTTCCCACTGCCATGTTCACTGCAGAGGTGGGCACTGGAGTGTTCCTGGCCTGTGCTCCCTCCACAGGTCCCCAGTTATCTCATTAAGAAGCAACAGGGATTTTTTTCAGTGTCATGGTGCTTGTTCTTTGTTTCCTCCTGTGGCAGTTTAGTCTTTAATGATTTCACTCAATTGTGTGTCTTCCTGGCGAGTGTTTGTTGCCTTTCTAACGAGTTGGTTGTTAATTGGGGACAGTAAAGGATATTTATGTCTAGGTAAGTTATTGAATATCACAAAGGCAGCATTACTGGACCCCTGCCAGCCCCCTTGGGGCAGCACCGTGCTGGGCTTGGCATTTTTGGGACTCATCTCAGCTGAAACATTCACCTGTGCAGAGGTAACAGTTCTGTTCTGCCAAACTTAATTTCCTCCTGAGTTCATGATACTAAAGCACCTGATCTGTCTGCTCGTAGCTCTGGTGGATTTAGGCAATACAGGCCTATTTCTGTCCTCAGCATTATGCAGCAGGGCTTCTCTCCTCTTCTGCCTTTATCTCTTCTGACATGATCTCCCACCTTCTCTCCCTGCTTCCTGTTTGATGTGTTTGTTCACAGTTAAGCAGCTTTTCACACAAGTGTCTGGTGGGTCTGTGCTGCTCCTTTCCCAGAGAGTGCCCTGATGAACTGAGCCACTTAAAAAGCCTGATAATGCAGAGATGAGATGTGCCCTGAGGAGAGGAAGATTTACCTTGACCCGTGCAAATGAGGGAGAATGGGAGAAGTGGTGCTCAGCTGAACTCCTGCACCCCTCACCCACTCATCCTTTGCTGGCTCAGTAAAACTGGAACGTGTTCTGAAGCTGGGATGTTAAATTGAAACCCAGCTTTTGTTCCTGTTCAGTGTCTGAGCTCCAGGGAAGTCCCTGGGGAAATGCAGGTCTGCAAAATCTCTCCTGGGGCTGGGGCAGCCCCTGAGTGACATGAAACCTCTGTTTCCAAACTGGGACGACTTCCTCCCTCCTAAAAGAAATCTACTTTAAACAAGCCCTTTTCTAAAGCTGTTTTCCCTTCAACTCAGGATCCAGGCATTTCTGCAGTTAATACACTTGAGAGTTGATTTCTTCTGCTGACTGAAGGTGGAACAATAGTTTCTGACCATCTGAACCCACTTTCTTTCTTCTTACTGATTTTGGTTCTTTTTTTATTTATTTTTTTAATCAAAATATCCATGCATATTTCTTGCTAAGACTGAGCAGAAACTATCTCAGGGGATTTAGATGAGACAAAGCCCTGAACATTTCAATGTTCCTTGTGGCTGAAGTGCTGACAGCAGGTTTAAGTAACCATGGCCTGGTGTTTTCTTCTTCTCATCTTTTTGATGCAAGTGCATTTTCCATCCTTTTATGGAAACTCAGCAATCAACTCAGTTGCAGGAAGGGTAGGATGAGAAAAGTAACCACAGGCAGAGGTAGAGGAGAAGCTTTTAATGGCTTATTACAACTTTTATTTTTTATTACAGGTTTGCCTGAATAGGTTCTGCAGCTCCAACATTTCCCATTAGGACAGAGAGTGTTTGGCTCTTTTTTTTTTTTTTTTTTTAGTGAAAATACTCTCTGAGTTTGGAAAATGAGCAGGACTTGACATCATTATTTATGCTATTTCTGCTTGTTAGTGTCTGTCCCAGATATCCCCATGTCCTTGATGGTCCAAAAGGAGTCCCAGCCAGCCTGTGGGGCCTTTCCAGCCTAAGATTTCATGGTTCTGGAAGTGCATGTAGACAAGACAAAGGCCTTTGTTCTCCACGTCTGTCAGCCCTGCAAGGCAACCCAAAGCCTGCTGACAGCACTGATTTAATCACCAGAAAGGTCTTCCAAGTGCAGTAAAATGGGATTCTGTAAGAATATGGCAAAGGTACAGCACATCATTACTGTCATCTGGAAAACCCCTCATTTTCTCTGTCTGTTCTGTGATAGGGGATGTGGGAGGAACTTTTTTATCCTGGAAATTCCTGTTTCCATGGCCAGTGCCAGTGCAATTGCTGCGGTTTGTTTTTATGGAGAAGGGGTGATGGATGCTCTTCCATCTGCACACACCTCCTTAGCAAGTCCTGAATCCTTTTGGATCTCAGCCCTTCTTAACAAATCCTCTGGTTTCAGGAGGTTTTCTGGTGCTTTGCAGCCTGGTTTTAAGGTACATCCTGAGTCTGTAAGTGCCTTTCTCTTCCAAGTCCCAGGGTTGGTATCTGAGCAAACCTGTACCAGGTATTAAAAGCTGCTGTGTTGTTACCAGTTTACTCAAGACTTTTTGGGGGTTCTGCCTTGTTTTTCCATGGGCTGGCAGTGATACAGGTTTTCAGTGATTTGTTAACACAGGCAACAAAGTTTGCAGCAATGAGTTGTGTATCTTTGTATGTGCTGCAGTGATTTAGGTGAAATCGGAGTTTACTTAAGAGTAACTTCAGTAAATTGTTTTGAAAAATGAAGTCTGGCAGGGTCAGATTGGCTGAGCTTTGTAAGGAAAGGCCCAAAACTCAGACTTTTTGGAGGTCAAGTTGCTATCAAACGTACACAAGGCATTTTTATTTTAAGTCAGCTCTGTGACAGTCTCTGTCATGGTTTGCTGAGTTGTCTCTCAGAGCTGCCCTTTACCTGCTGATCCCCTCACTGTCAGCATCACCACTGCCCTGCCCACTGTGGGAGCAGTGATGGGGAAAGTAATGTTTTCCCCTTTTCCCTGTGAATTCCCACTTCTCTGCATCCTGTGATGGATTTTGTGTACTTCCATAGTCTTGTCAGTTCAATATCTGAAACTCCTCCTTTGGTCCCAGACTTGCTTTCTCTTCCTTTCTTACATCTGAAAAGCCCAACCAGCACTAGTAGAGTTGCCTCTTTAATGGGTCAATTAATGGCAGGTTCAAAATTGTTTGGGTTCCTTATTAGTGATTTCCTGACATGACTCTGGGCCTGTGTCATTGTTGTCATCCCCTGACTCCAGCTAAAAGGTGTGTTGGTAACTAATAACCTCTAAACAATAGGTCTGGAAGGGAAGAGGATCTGGATATTGAGGCTTTTGCCCTCCAGAAGCACTTAGTGTAGTCAGGGATGGACAAAGCCAGGATGGGTTTAGTGCCAAGGAGAGGGAGTTACCAGGAGACCCTGCAGCCCTACGTGCTCCCTCTTCTGCATTTCATGTTTTAGAAGTTTTAGGGAATAGAAATGAGGCTGATGTTCCTGCCTTTGTGATGGAGAGCCATGAAAGTGTTGTGGATGACAGAATTTTGTGGCATCTCCAGTTAAAAATGGGATCATGTGACCACCATGAATTTTCACATCAGGGAACTCTCTAGTTAAGGAGTCACAACCCAGCATTTACAAATGCTAGCTGGGAATTTCTGGGCAGTCAGTTGAAATGGTTTGGACAGCTTATCATGTTTTTGATGGCATTCAGAGCCAGCAGCCTGCTCTTGTCTTGGCATGTGAGTGGAGAGTGTCACATGAAGCTTTCAGGTTGACTGCACTGTCTCAGGGGTTGGGGAGAAGCTGGCATTCAGTTTTTGTCCAATGTCAACCGAAGACTTGGGAAGAATTCAGAGTGGGATGTTAGTATGGAAAAAAAATCTGAAATAAGGATAAGTTATGAGGCCCTGGCATGTGCAGCTTAAAGGAAAGACAGAAGGGAGATATAACTGTCTCAGGAAACATGAGGAGTCACCATAAAGGAGTCTGAGGCAAAGTCG